GTAAAGTGAGGGAAGTGAAAAATTACAAAAAGCAGGAAGAGGGGCTTCGTTCTATGAAACCAATCTGGGTTTGCTAACTGACACTTACTGAAGTTAGGCTCCTACTCTCTCACAAAGACTGGGAGACAGGGAGCCTGTCTTTAGGATTGACTGGAACAAACATTAAATTCTGTTGGAAGCCTTGAGTTTTGTCAGGTAGGCACTTTAAGGAAACCAGACTCATCCTGGGAATGCAGTCTCGAGCTGTCCGAAATGATGTTAGTGTTTGTTCAAGTCTTTATAGGCCAGGATTAAGGCCTAATCAAAAAAAAATGCTCAGAAGACCTGGCTAAAGCTTAGTCAAGGAGCAAATCTTTGTCACCATGTCATTAAAGGGGAAAATTGAAAACAAAACATCAGTAAACCCTAAGGGTCTACCTTAAAAATAGAAAATAACCTCACCACTTTTCACCATGTCAACTGCTAGACCCTGGTAAATCACCATCCTCTCTAATTTACCAACAGATTGGTAAGAGATCTCCCTGCCTCTATACTAACCCCTCCAGCCTACTGTCAACAGAACTGAGTGATCCTTTAAAGATAATTTAGATCAAGTTTTACTAAGGCTTCAACCCTTAAGTGTCTTCTTATCTCACCAGAGTATAAAAGAAAGTCCTTACAATGGTCCATAAAGGGCCTACGTGATCTGCCCCAAGGCCCCTGCACTGTAACTACTCTTTGTGACTTTCACTCTGGCTCAATCCACACCAGATACACTGATCTCATTGCTGTTCTTTAAACAGGTCAGCAGCATTCTACCTTAGGACCACAGCTCTAGTTCTGCCTGAAGTAGTCTTCCTACAGGTCTAATAGCTACTAGTGTAACTCATTCATGTCTTTTATGTCTTTGCTCAAGCCTGACCTTCTTAAAAAGGCTACTTCGATCACAGTAGTACTGCAACATACTGTGTCATCTGTCTAACCCTACCCGTTTTTATTTTCCTTTTGCTCCATAGCATTTATCATCTTCTAGCATACTATATAATTTTCTTATTCATTATCTTTACTTATTATTGCCTGTTCTTCCTACTAGACTATAAGCTCCACCAGGGCAAGGACCTCTCCCCAACCCCACTGATGGATTTTTTTCCCCTCACTAAACTAGTTTTACATTATAGATGTTTAATAGATATTTGTTGAACACATAAATTAGTTGATCTAAGTAAAATTTCTTTGTGATATAAAATAAGCTCCATTAATGTTGTTTTTCATTGGCTGATTATAGTTATATGTCTTGTTATAGTATTTGGCATATAAGTGATTTCTGTGAAATAGGTCGCCTCTGGCTCTGAAGCCAGTTTGCTGAGGAGCAGTAAAATTTTACTCTTGTCTCTCATGTCCCCGTTTCCCACCTGTAAAGAGAGGGAGAAAGAAAAAAATTCATATAGAGGGAAAGAGATAATTAGGTGGCAAAAAATAGAAAAGGGGACCACAGTTATATCAGTGTTTATATTGTACAGATAAATGTACTGGTTAATCAAATATCTAAACTTTTAACTAAACCAAAGATCACCCAAAACTGGAAGAAATACTGTAAGTAGATAAAATCACGAAAGCTTTGTAGTGACCAGAAAGCATGTATCCTGTGTAAGAGAAATAATTACATTGGCTAATCTTAGTCAAAAACATGCTTTTTGTTTGTTTGTTTATTTCTCTAGTTATTGTTGTGCCATTTTCTACTCTTTAAATCCTTTCCTCTTATAGTGTAAATAATTTTTATTATATTTTGAAATACTATGGTGGGGTTAGTGAGGGAAGCAGAAATGCATTGTTTAAGAGACCACATTCTATGGCCAAACTTTCTCGGCTCTAATCTCAGCTTTGCTATTAACTCTGCAACTATAGACAAGTGACACACAACTCTTGACCTTACTTTTTGCATTCATACAATTGAGATAATAATAGTCTTTAACTGATGGAGTTGTTTTGAGGAATAACACTTCACAACACACAGTTCCTTTTACATAGTATTCACTCCATAAATAGTTATTTGTATATAATAATGGAGTATTTTCTAAAAAGAAAAATGTATAACTTAAAATTGTTTTTTGTACACTACATTTTCATAAAATGATATTGTTCATACAATGCTAACTGAATCATGGAGGCAAAATTTTACTATTAATATTTTTTTAAAACTCTTTATACACTCATTTGAATTTTCAAATTCCTATGCTAGAAAATTTGAAATACTAGGTTTAGAGAGATACTGTAGACTGGAGTGTTAAAAGTCCTCTCTGTATCTCATATGGTAGTGTATGAGAGGTAAAATAATTTTCCATTTACTCTTTTGAGTTTGGGTTGAGATCTCTGTAATAAAAAACATTCCGGCCCATGTGGCTCAGTGTGAATATCTACTCATGTACCGGTCACCGGTTCATTTCTCGGTCAGGGCACATGCCCAGGTTGTGGGCCAAATCCCTAGAGGGAGGCATGTAGGAGGTGGCCAATCGATGTCCTCTCTCATTGATGTTTCTCTCTCTCTCTCTAAAAATCAATTTAAAAAATTAAAAAAAACAGATTAACAAGAGAAAAAGCTGAGAAGTTTATTCACATGTATCCTCATGTATATATTGGAGATACCTAGGGGAAAATGAGTAACTCTTAGAGGTGGATTAGAACTTCATCTTAAATATCATCTTCAGCTAAAGAGAAAAGAAAAAAGTGTGGGGAAGACTAGCCATTGGAAGGTTACCAGGAAAAGTAGAATAAATAAGTGCAAGATTTGTTAAGTAGATTTAAGTCCCTGTTTTCTCCATTTCTAATGTTGCCTTACAGTATGAGGAGGGTCATTTCTGTAAATTTCTGTCCTGCTTTTAGGCAAATAGAGGGAAAGCAGAGAGTTTTTCTTTTTTCTTCTCAGTTGACTTCAGTTAAAACACACACACACAAAACTTTATGGGGCTCTGCTGGTGTGGCTCAGTGGATTGAGCGTCGTCCCATGGACTGAGAGGTCTGGGTTCAATTTCTAGTTAGGGCACATGCCCGGGTTTAGGGCTCTATTCCCCAGTGGGGGACATGTAGGAGGTGGCTGATTGATGTTTCTCTCTCACATTGATTTTTCTATGTCTCCCTTCCTCTCTTTCTAAAACATTAATACAAAAATATATATTTAGAAAAAAAAATCTTATGTGACAGTGGCATATTTTGGAGGGGCATATTCTGCTACCCTTCAGTAGGAACTTCTCTGGGTAGCTCTTTCTCTAAGAAAGGCATACGTTGCCAAGAACTATGAAAGATCTGGTATTTTATTTGACTTCCAAACTAATAAGTAGCCTGCCACCATTTCATAGAAGTTGGCCGAAGGCATGAGATCCCTTTGTTAGAGACAAAGGATTTTATTATAGCACAACAGGGAGCATAACTTCAGACTCTCCTAGATTCCTCTTGCTCCCAAATTCCACAAAGCAAAATGGAACTGTTAGGTGAGTGTTGAACAAGCAGAAGGTTTGTATTAGAATGGAGGGACTTTAAGCTTAGGAAAGTCCGGCTAGTAAACCTACCTAAGCTTGAACCTGGAAGGAGAGATTATCTTTGTTATCCTGCAACAAATCTCTGCCCATGACGCAAACACTATCTCTATCTTGGAAACTATAACGTGTAAAAATGCAAGAGAACCATGTAGACTTAACTCCTAGCGTCACTAAGGCTATTATGATGAAAAGAAGATGCACAAAAATTCTGACCAGAGATTTAGACTAACATTGTAAATGTAAAACCCTCCATGCTTTCTAAGTCTTTGAATATATAGTTAATTAGAATAAAACTTTGCAACAATTTGTTTACTTTGCACTGCTTGATCACTTGATACTTTAATGAGTCATATTCTTTCCTCTTATAAAGTAAGTTCTACCATCCCCTCTATACTTATTTATGTCAACAATTTTATCTTATTGGATAAAGTATTTTTTGTGTTAGAAGAACTAACACTTTCTCAAGAGAGGCTTGTACCTTAGCAACTGTCCTCTCTCTCTGCCTCTTCCTGATAAAATTAGGTTTCACAAGGTTCCACATGTTCCTCCTCTGTAATGTTGCTGAGCAATAGTTACTCAGTTTTGCAAGGTTTATTTCCTCTGCTAATAATTAACACCCCCTCCTTACTTTTAAGATATTTTAGTGGTTGTCTTATTCAGACATAACTCAAAATAATGTCATCTTGGTCTTGGTTTGTTAAGATAAAGCTACAGCTGTTCTGCAGTGTGTGTGTGTGTTCCAGAGAAAAGCATAACTGTTGACTACAATTACTTAATACATCAAATAATTGAACCTTTAACTTTTTGCAGTGATAAAAACCAAGCTGTTCCTCTCCAGTGGCTATCATGAGCAGGCACATCTTAAGAGATTGCCCACAGATTTGAGTCATTGGTAAAGTTAACAAGTAATGTACTGGATAATACACAGGACGTCTCCTGCAATATTTGAGACATACTTATATTATAAACATTCATTGTTTACTTGAAAATGAAATTTAACTGGACATCCTGTATTTTTATTTGCTAAATCTAGAAACGCTAGTTACTATTTATCTACTACACAAACTAGACATAACCTTTTGGTAAAATTTGATGCCAAGTGGGTTTTCGCTCAGAAGCATTTCCCTTGGCGCAGGGGTAAAGGTTTCAAAATTTCGGTTATGCGACATCAACGCTATTCAAAAATAAACGTGAGCAACTGCAATTTTTAAAAATTCATAGATGTATATTTGGAACTCCGGCTCAAAAAAAAGTGGGGCAGCAGGTTAAAAGAAGTCATGGTCCCCGTGGGATTTCTAAGGAAAGTTAGGGCAAAGACGGTGGAAGTAAGCGCGGCAGTCTTCGTAATTTAGCGAAGAGAGAGCGCGATACCCGAGCAAGCCAGTAGTAGACGAGCAGGTAATAGCTGGCCAATCATAGTCCAGAGGGGTGGGATTAGGCTCCAGAACAGGGTGGGCTCCGGCAGTGTGGGCTCCCAAGGGCAGGATTTAGCCAATTGGAACCGAGCAGGGCGGGGCTGGACTCCGGGACCGGGAGTCTCGTGGAAACAAACAGGCGCAGCCAGCGCGTCTTTCACACTTACCTGCATCTACTCTTCCCACCCGGCAGGGCGGACGCAGACTCCGAGGGTGACCGGTGACAGGGTGACGCTTGCTCCGCTCATCATGGCCTACCCTGGATACGGAGGAGGGGTGAGTCTCGGCGCTTCCCCGCGACCGACCCGCTCCCGCGGGGTGTGGCGCCCTTGCTGGCGGTGCCCACGTACCCGGTCCGCCTTCGGCCCCTGGTGTGCCCCTGCCTGGCGTGCCCCTGCCTGGCTGCCCCTGCTCCGGTGTCCTGTGGCGCCAGCAGTCGCGCGGTGCTGGAATCCCGGCCGGCCCAGCGTTCTGGTCCCTGAGGCGTGTCCTTGTGTAGCCAAGAGTGAGATGTGTTTTTAGACACATCTTACCTGGAACGGTGGGGTTAGGGGAAAAGCACCCTTTTTTTATTCCAGGCATCTTTTGTGCCCCCCCCTCCCTCCGCCCCCCCCAATGTGCCGCTCAGTTTTGCTAGACTTCCTCTCTGAATTTTTGGACCACTTCTTGTTTTCTCCTTTAAGTTTAAAAAAAGAATAAAATTAGTTGACCCCTCAAGGAACAAATGGAGGTGCTATAGTAGAGGGTCCAAAGGCGTCTTTTGGCGTCACCTCAACATTAGCTTTTCACTAATATGCTTATATTTAGTTTGGCCTCTTTTCTTATAAAATCTTTTTTTTTTTTCTTTCAGTTTTTCTTCCTTATGTGAAGCTTACGGTGGTGAGGGTCTCCAATGAGCCCTAAATTCTTGGATATGCCCTAAAACTTGTTTGCGCTCCATGTCCTTGGAGGCCTTGGAACCAATGCCTAGGTGTTACTTATTACCACCTGCCCCCACAGCAAAAGCTTTGGGAGTTTTGCTAATTCATTTATCTCAGGGTTTAGACTTGTCCTCAAATATTGGCCTGGAAGTGTCCTTCTGTCGGTAGGGAAAATAATATTTTTGCAACATTTTGATTATTAAAGTTGATCGACTTATACCAGCCTGCCATTATTAGAAATAAGAAGTTTTTTTATTACTTGAGTCAATATTTGTAATTTATATAATTTTGGAAGGCCCATTTTATCTGCATATTTAAGTATATTGGTAAAAAGGTATTCATAGCAATTGGTTTATATATATATTTTAAGTTAAATTCTGTTTGTGGTTATATACTCTCCTTTTTGTGTTCTTTAATTTGGTCTGTCCTTTGATGGTCTGTCTCTTCAAAGAAGCAACTTTTATAAACAATCATATCTTTTTTTTTTTAATCCCTAATATTGTTTTAATGCTTTTTTTCTTATATTTCATTGCTTCAGAATCTAGGTTTTGACCACCTACCTGAGGTCATTTCCTGGAGCTTCACTACTTCCCCCATACTTTTGCTCTTACCACATCCCTCTAGGGCTTTTCAGAGTACTTCGTAAGGCCTCTTATCTTTTGTCTTTTTTGCCCCTTGTGCGTAATCATTTTGCCTTCTGGCAATCACTGCTGATCTTAAAGAATGCAAGTGATGTATTAATTGGCAGTTGCAAAATAGGGGAATGTGAAGCTTAGCATAGGGAATATAGTCATTAATTTTGTAATAACTACGCATGGTGTCTGGGGGGTACTAGACTTACAGGGGAGATCACGTTATAAGTTATATAAATATCTAACCACTATGCTGTACACCTGAAACTAATATATTAAACGTCAACTGTAATTCTAAAAAATTTTTAAAAGGCGACAATTTATGAAAAAAAGAATATAGGTGAAAAATATTTTCAAGTACCTTGTGATTTCACTCATATGTGGGACCTAATGAACAAAATGAACTAACAAGCAAAACAGAGACAGACTCAGATAGAGAGCAGGCTGACAGCTGTTGGGGAGGAGGGTGGTGTTGAGGGGGTAGGGGCATTGAGCAAAAAAAGGGAAAAAAACTCATGGACACAGACCACTTTGTGGTAATAGCCAGGGGGTGTGGGTGGGGGAAAGTAGAGGAGGGTAGAGGGGATAAATGGTGATGGACTGAAACTTGACTTGGGGTGGTAAACACACAATACAGTGTACAGATGATGTGTTGTAGAATTGTACATCTGAAACCTGTATGCTTACCAGTGTCACCCCAATAAATGCAATAACAAGGAAAAAAATGGAATAACGAACAATCTTGGTGCTTCTTTCTCCTTCTGATTATAAAAATGCTGAGTAAAATATCTTTTTAAAGTATTAAAAATGTGTATCAAGTTCTAAAGTGAAAAATAGAAACCAGAGCTCTAGCAGGAAACAAATAGTAGGTAGCCTCTCAGGTCACATGTCTGTTTTTGAATCATGGTCTACTTCTTACTAGTTATTTGACCTTAACCAATACAGGTCCTCAATTGCAAAAAGGACATAGTACTTTCTTTCTTTAAAAAAAAAATTTTTTTTTCCCTTTATTAATGTTAGAGAGAGAGGGAGAGAGATAGAAACATCGATGAGAGAGAACATCGATTGGCCTCCTCCTGCATGCCCCCCTCTGGGGATGGGGCCCACAACCTGGGCATGTGTCTCTTGGTGCAGGAGTCGACGCTCAACCGCTGAGCCACACTGGCCAGACAAGGACATAGTACTTTCATGCCTCACAGAGTTGTTGGAAAATCAAATCATATAATAGATGGAAAGTACTTAGAACGGTGGTACCTGAGATATAAAAAGCTCTCAATAAACATTAGCAGCATATTATTGTTATTTTTGGTATTCTTCTTATTATTTATACTAGTTTTAAAAAGGACCATGGTTACAATTACCACTCTATTGATCTACTTGTTGATATCTTGCTTTTGAAAATGTAATTTTTTTTTTTTCTAATGGAGAGGGTGTTTTGGCCCTATGCAGTTTCCCCTGATTTAATTTCATTATATTTACCATGTATTCTAAGTATGTGTCTAGAGTTATAAAGTACTTGTTAGCTTTCCTTTAGGTGAAGTTTTCTTAAATTGTTTACTTTTTGTCTATTTCAGTGATGATCCTGCAAACACTTTTTAATTTTTTTTTTTTATCCTCACCCGAGGACATTTTTGCATTTATCTTCAGATAGAGTGGGAGGGAGAGAAGGAGGAAGAGAGAGAGAGAAATGTCAACGTGAGAGAGACACATCGAGTTGTTGCCACCCACACAACCCCAAGTGGGGCCGGGGACAAACTGCAACCCAGGTATGTGCCCTTAGTGGGAACCAAACCTGGGACTCTGGTCTGCAGGCCAACGCTCTAACCGCTGAGTCAAACCAGCCAGGGCCATGCAAACACTTTTTAAAATTGTGCCTCATGTTCATCTATTAAATTAGTTCTTAGTAGTTTTTTTTGTTTTTTTTTTGTTTTTTTCCTTTCACAGATCTTTCAATGCTGGATAACACTTTAATGAATGGAATTAGGTCCTAATGCAGGACATCTAGTATTTTTTAGCTAACAGTTTTTGTGATAGTGAATTCGGAAGCTTTTATATCTGCCCTTCATTGGACTGCTCATAAATATTTTCTTTTGAACTAACTTTAATGGATAATAAGTACATTTATAATAACAGTTTTCTCTTTTTTCACTCTTCTAGTTTGGAAATTTTATCAATCAGATGCCAGGAATGCAGCTTCAGATGGGACAGCCCGTGCCAGGAACAGGGCCACAAGTGCTCCCTGGTGGACACTCTGGATACCCTGCTTATTCGATCAATTATCCCTCAGCAGAAGACCCCATGTGGACGTACTTTGCTGCTGTTGCTGGACAGGTAAGATACTAAACACATTGGACAGATACCAGTTTTTTAAAATGATTGCTGTTTAAAAGAAATGCTTGCTTTTTTACTTAATGTATCATTTTAAATAAGTATCAGATTTGTATTTTAAACTTACCTAGATTAGTTTTCTTCCTGAGAGCAGAGATGAGGATAATGATTTTAGTTTAAAAAGTTTTTTAGCATGATGCCTGACACATACTTCATGCATGGAAACAGGGCAGTATGTGGAGATTGAGCCAGAGAAGATTTGGAAGAAGAGACCTACGTGTACAGATTGATGACATCATTAAGTTGCCATACAGTCATGTTCTACCTTTCCCCAGACTTTGTATATAAAACAATAAACCTTTGTCTGGCTGGTGTGGCTCAGTGGTTGAACTCGACGCATGCACCAAAAGGTCACCAGTTTGATTCCTGGTCAGGGCACATGCCCAGGTTGTGGGCCCTATCCCCAGTGGGGGGGCATGCAGAAGGCGGCCAGTTGATGTTCTCTCTCATCGATATTTCTCTCTCTCCCCCACTTTTTTCCCCTCCCTCCAAAATCAATAAATGAAGGAAATAAATGAATAAAACAATAAACCCTTATTTGTTTAAGCACCTTTAATAGCATTTTTTATTGTTTGCAGCTAAATGTAATCCTATTACATTATGCCATTCTTACCTGCAGGCAACTTCTGAGTAGTATAATACTGAGAATAAATATGTTACAACTGACTATAAATCCATTTTATGAAATTACAACTTAAAACATAGGAACTGTTTCAGTGTAACAGTTGTCAACAGTGATTTGCTATGTTTGTACTATTTGATAACTTTCCTTAATTTTTCCATAGTCTTATGCTTTTGAAGAGTTAAACTTCATGAAGACATGGCTCTTGCCATATTATTCCTTACCAAGTCGGCGCTAGGAATATATTAGTCATTCAATAATTGTGTTGAATGGATACATAAACTATTTCATTTTTAATTTTTTAAACCAAATACTTAGACACTTGAACATTATATTTTTTTCATATACTTTTGACTTTGGGTTTATAAACTTACTTCTCTTAGAGTTCTTGTTTATTTCCTCCCTCCTTCATTTGTCCCCCTTCCTTGTTATTCCTGTTCTTTCCCATGTCCCCGGGTGTCCTCATGTAGTGGTTTTGTGATTACCCCCACCTCAGTTGTGTCCACAATCTAAAAATATGGCTAATTTTTTTAAAGTATTATTTTCTAACTACAGAACTAAAATTTTTTTTAAAAATTTTGTATTGAATTTATTGGGATGACACTGTTGGTTAATAAAATTATATATAGGTTTCAGGTATACAATTCTACAATACATTTAAAATTTTCTAAGCAAAATCACAAAAACATACATGACAGAGAAAGGAGCTCTTAGCTACTCTGTGTAGTGAATACTATATGGTTGGTTCATTGAGAAGAAAGCTTCCCAGTATTTTTTAATTCCCTTAGTACCACTGGAATTTTTCTTATAAAGAACTCCAAGCTAAAGATCAAAATATGAGTGTTTATAATACTTCTTAGCCGTAGTTTGTAAAAGTTGTTTTGTTGTTTCTTGGGTCTCTTACAAAGTACATGCTTTAAATTTGTGTCCTTGATCCTTTCTCAGAGCTACTTTTTAAAAAAATAGAAAATAGAATAAGGTCCTAAACCTGAGAATGTTCTACCTGTTTTACTTCCATTGTGATTTCTTATTTGCATTTAAAAACTTATTTCCCATAATAAGTTCAAAGCAAGAATGTTTGGGAAATAATCAGAAGATTACTAACAAAATGTATGGAACTCTAAAATTTTGCTGGGGGCAGTAGTGGTAGAGGGGGAAAGGTATTTTTGCTTCAGTATCTTTTAGAAATAATCTTCCCCAAAAACAGGCATGAAAGGAATGTTTTTGAGACTTCTAAACACATTATAGGTATTTTTCCAGCAACTTTAATTAGAAGTACGGTGTTTCTCACAGGATATTATTTTAAGCTATTATAGTACAGAATGATTATGCTGTTTTCCAGAAGAAGAGAAAATAAATAATATTTGAGATGCTTGAAAAATTAAAAGAATGAAATTTGATTGTAAAAATCATTTATAGTTCATGATGTTCTGTAATATGCCTTTGCTGTCAATAATTATTGGCAGTTGATAGAGTAATATTTTGAGGAATGTATATTTATTGATGGCCTAGAATAGACAGTTAGCATTTTAATATGCTTTTACACAACTGTACATTAAACCACATTATAATTATTTTTAACAGGATGGTGAAGTGGATGCAGAAGAACTTCAGAAATGTTTGACACAGTCTGGAATTACTGGAACTTATTCTCGTGAGACTTTTTTTTCCCTCTTTTGAAATTGGAATAGAAAATTCATTTTCTAACATTTTCCCCCATATATAAACTACTTTACAATTTTTTTTTATCACAGATATATATACACAGAGATTAAAGAATGAAATAATTCTGTAGAGCTTGTTCTGAAAAGAACTGTTCATTGTTCATTCCTATCTCCCCAATGTTAATCATTCATTGAGGAAATAGCTTTTAACTTTCTCAGCTGATTATTTTGAAATTTGCCTCCAGATCTCAAAATAGCATGCTTTTTAATCACTATTGATTTTCGGCTTTAATGATTATCAGTAGATGTCCTGCTATGAAACAGGATTTAACACTCAACCTTAAACTCACCCTTGTCCCCACACACCACACAAGAAGCTTACCATCCTCCCATCCATTCAGCATAGCCATATAGTAATTTACGTTAGATCAGTAATCAGTATTTGCCTCATAGCTACTATCTAAATGCTCTTCTTGTGTCTTGTGGTAGGTATGATTAATTTTTCAAATTACAGAACTTTACTCTCCTGAAGTTAATCATCTTGGAGCTTTGTGTCGTGCTCTATACTCTGTGCAGAGCTGTCATACTGACCTTCCATCACCATCGTTCAGGAGCTGTCTTTCCTGTCTCGTGCCATCTTTTTTTTTAATTCTATGAAGTGTAACATTAATTAGCATCTTAATAAAAGTGCATGGGAGGTAAAATTTTTGAGACTTCATCTGAAAATGCTTTCCTTCTATCAGAATTAAATGATTGTCCAGGTGTCAAACTCTTAAGTTACAAATAATTTTCACTTTGAGTCTTAAAGGTATTGCTCCATTGTTTTTAACCTCCACTGTTGCTCTATCTGTTTCCTGCCTATATGTCATTTGTCCTTCCTTTCTTGAGGCCTGTGAAATCTTTGTTCCTAGTCTGTTAGTTCACAGTGATGTACCTACCTAGTTACGTTGTATGGGGAACTCAGTGAGCACCCCCAGTATGGGAACTAATTTGCCTTAGTTCTGAGAAATGTTCTTCAGTGATATTTCCTCTTTCTAGAATACCTGTTATTTGGAGTGGATCACTTATTTTTTCTTTCCTATTTCTTGTTTTCCTCTGTTTTAGGGGACATTTCCTTATCTTTATTTTCTAAACCATCTATTGAGTCTTGTTTGCCATCATGTTCTTAAAATCCAAGAGCTTCTGTTTTTTCTTTTTTATGAATGTAACGTCTTCCCTTTTCTCTCTGAGACTATTAAAGTTTCTTTCTTCCTACATAACCTGTGTTTACAACAAATTGTTTTTTTTTCTCAGTTTGTGTATTTGATTGCTTTTATATTACATGCTTCTCTGAGGTGTCTGGTGATCCTTGGATGCTCATATTTAACTAAACTGCTTATTAGAAGCTCTGAGATTGTGGTTAGGTGCTGATTATAGACTTCGTGTCTGATGGTTAGACTGGGCAGTTTGTTGTGCAACACTAGGTGTTAGTATCTTTAGGGATTTCCTTTTGGGCTGATTGTCCAGCTGATCTTCTGTCTGGAAAGGAGGACGGGGGTACTCAGCAGGGCTCTCAGTCTTGTATAAATTGTCATTTAATTGCCTTGTTTTTAGTAGCCAGCCCTGTTCTGGAATCCTGCAGTCCAGAGATTTCTCCAGGGAATAAAACCCCAGACTTCTGCTGGGGTGGGAGCAGACGTGGAAGCCGGACACTGAGCTGAGGCCAGGAGGGGATTTGGAGGTCTAAATGCTCCTCAAGTAGACATTTGACCGCGGTTGTTTTTATCTTACCTTCACACCCATTTACACAAGTATTGCCTATTAAACTTTTGGGGTCTTTTTGAAGATAAGTAGGCTGCTTCTAGGTTTTCTTATTGTAAGTTTAGGAAAACACTTTCTCCGATCTAAGTTAACTCATGTCCATCTACATTTTCAACTTGTAAAATTTTGTTCCTTTGTTTCTTTTCTCATTCTCTTTTTCTCTAAATGTTTATGACAAAAAAAAAAATCAGTTTACTCTCCATTTTAATGGGGTGTGGTGAGAGAGGGAAACTTCTAATTTTCCTGAAAATTCTCTATTCATTCTGTCAAAATATTTAATCATATATGTATATATGTGATTTGATCTTATTTAATATATATATAAATATATATATTTGATCTTATTTTGAGATTAAAAATATGCTTATTTGATAACTCAATTTTTGCCATTTATTTTCATCTATTTAGATTCTCCCACTTAATGAATATGTGCCATATTAACTTTAAAGAAAACACATAGCTTCTGCTTGACAAATGATGGAATACCACTCCAGAGATTTCTCGTGTGGTCTTGGCCACACTCACCTTCCCTGCTCATGTGGTTTTTGCGTGAAGGAACACAGGGCTCCAATCCTGACTTCCATTTATTAGCTCTATGAACTTGGGAAACTTGATCTTTCTGGAACTCAGTTTCTTCATTTGTAAAATTAGGACTGGAATGCATTTGGCATGTTTACATGAAATCATGAAACACACACTAGCTGGCTCTTAGTAAATGCTCATTGAGTGTCTGTTGAAATTGTCAGCTTGAAAATATTATAAATACCTATTCTAACATTGACACTATTAAACATTTAAAGAAAATCAGCTATTTTAACTTGTGGACTGTTTTATATATTTTTCTTAATGGACTAAAATTTAGCTGAAATAATTTGTTTCTTTATAGAATTTCAAAAACATCAAATAGTATAAAATAAACCAACTTTAAGCATTTTTATTTATTTTAATGAGCTACTAGCTACTAGAACTATGTAAGCGTAACTGCTAATATCTCCTTTATCAGGATTATGATATAGTCTTTTAAGATAAATCATATACTGATTGAATGTAATTATGGTAAAGATTCAAGAAATTAAATTCTACTTAGTCCTCAGTTACAGTTCTATAATTATAAAAGTGTTAATGATTTTAAGATAGTTTTATTTATTTTTTCTCTCCACCCCCCACCCCAAGAGGGGAACATTTGTTTCAGTTCAGAAGCTTATCTATTCTTACTTGGTCAATTGCAGTAAAACTCAAATGATTTACTTACCTACATACATTTTCATCTCACTTTATATCTGGTCGTGGTACCTGTTGTTTCTGAAATGGAGGTTTTAGAACTGCCCCTCTACTTCTTAAAATCCTTCAGTGACTTCCACTGGTCTAAATCTTTAGGGTGGCATCAAGACTTTCATGATCTGGCCCACGTCTGTCTTTCTGATGTCGTCATGTACAACTGCCTCACATAATACCCCCAACCTTTAACCAAATCGCTAACTTCTTCCAAGTTTTGTGATCTCAGTATATGTCAAACTTCTACTTAAACCTCATCTGTGTTAGGAAGACTAATGCCCTCCTTCTCTCCTGTTAAAGCAGTTTTCAGTTACTTTATAATTGCTTATTTAATTATCCAAACCCCCTTACTAGATGTGAGTAGTTTGAAGGTAGTAATCTTTTTTTTTTTTTTAAACTATGGATGGCTAACATTCAAAATTTGCTGACCAGGGTGATTGTAAATTTTTCGCAATTTTTTAATGTTTTAATTTGACAATAAAAATTGTCATAATCTCACATAGATAAAGTTGGGCAGACTAATTAAAATAATAAATATGTTTTATAGCCTTCAGCTTGGAAACCTGCAGAATTATGATTGCCATGTTGGATGTATCCTTCAATAAAAATAGAAAATACTATTGAATAATTGCTTTTTCATATTAAGGCAGTTGTTGTTTGTAAATGACCACAGTTAACTAGAGTTTAAAAATGCTTTGTAGTATCCTGTTTGAATTCCATACTTTTCCAATTTTACATACAAATCCATTCAGATGCTGAATTTGGCTAACTCTTGCAGAAGCATCCTCACATTTCTTTTTAGTTAATGATTTGCAGTTTTGGGTTAGGTAAAATTCTCTTCGGTATCAAAATTTGTTTTTGTTAACAAAACTATCAGAGAGATTACACAGGAAAAATGGGATTTAATGAATTCAAAGAACTTTGGACAGCTCTTAATGCCTGGAAACAAAACTTCATAACTATTGATCAAGATCAAAGTGGCACAGTGGAGCAACATGAATTGAATCAAGCCATTGCTGCTATGGGTAAGAATATTAAAATTCTTTAGCATCCATTCAAGTTATCTTTGTTCTTTGATCAGATGAATCTTAATTGTTTTAATTTGCTAAGTAATAAAGAGATATATTACTTTACCAGCTGTTGCCTAGTTTGATTTCAAAGTTGTAGGTATATTCTGACTAAGGACTTCTAACAAGAAAACAACAACATTGTATCCATTATTTTTTTTAAAAGATGATTTCTATACATTCTGGATAATAAAATAACTTCTAAATTTTCTCTGTTGAGTATATTTAAATTTATTCCTCTAATTTTTAGTATTCACTTATCATTTACCTTGTATTTTGTAACTTGGCAAGACCTCCCATATAACAGCTTATCTCAGTGAGAGGTTTTCATATTAAAATCTAGCTTTTGGCAATAAAAAACATGTTATTTGTTTTTTTCTATGTAGTATAGAACACACAGTAGACACCAAAATACCTACAAATGAGAAGTATGCATTTTAAAATATTTTAAAAGTATTTAACTTTATTTTTATCAATTTCCGATATGCTAAAGTTCAAAGTGTACTTCCTTTCAAAAAGTGATTATGTACAATGTTTTAGTTTTCTTAATTGTGTTTACCCTTGTGATTTTATTTATACTCATTTCTAAATAAAATATATTTGTAAGAAAGTTAACTTTTTTAAAAAAGATACCTATTTTTTAACATATTTTTTCTTGATCTTTTGGGGGAGAGAAGAAGGAAGAGAGAGAGAGAGAAATATCGATGTGAGAGAGATACATCCGTCGACTGCTTCCTGCTCGGCCCCCCACTGGGGATCAAGCCCGCAACCCAGGCATGTGCTGTGACCAGGAATCTAACTGGAACCTCTCAGTCCATGGGATGATACTCAGTACACTGAGCTACACCAGCCAGGCTGAAAATATTTTTTTAGAGATAGAGGAAGGGAGAAGGAGAGAGAAAGTAACATCGATGTGAGAGCACAACATCAATCAGCTGCCTCCTGCATGTGCCCTACTGGGGATTGAGCCCAACCTGGTCATGTGCCCTGACTGGGAATCTAACCAGCAACCCCCAGGTGCATGTGATGACACCCAACCACTGAGCCACACTCGGCAGGGCAGAAAATTTAAAACATTTTAATTTAACAAATAGTCATTTTAGAGACAGTGCTGACTATATAAACATATATAGTTCAGTTATAGAGCCTTAATAACTAATGGATTAAACTTGTTCCTTGCCCTGGCCGGTTTGGCTCAGCGGTTAGAGCGTCGGCCTGCGGTCCTGAGAGACCCAGGTTCGGTTCCCGCTAAGGGCGCGTACCTCGGTTGCAGTTTGTCCCCGGCCCTGGTCGGTTGTGCGGGTGGCAGCCACTCGATGTGTTCCTTTCACATCGATGTTTCTCTCTCTCTCTCTGTTCCTCTCTCTCCCTCCCACTCTACCTGAACAAAAGATGGAAAAATGTCCTCGGGTGAGGATAAAAAAAATAAATAAATAAATAAATAAACTTGTTCCTTAATTCAGTACAGTGTTAGAATATTAATATTACCTTTTATAAAAAAGAAAATCGCCGAAGAGTTCACATAGGCAATTGAATATAGCAAAGAGGTATTCTGGATTATTCAAATTTAAGATATTCAGATATATTTTAAAATATTAAAATTATTTTGCTAAGAATGTTATGGGAAATCGTAAGAATTTTATCAGCAACTTTCAAACATCCAATACAGTATTAACTACAGTCACCATGATGTATATTACATCCTCATGAAATATTTATTATATAATTGGAGATCTGTCTTTTGTCCAGATCTATTAACTCAATAATAAAAACAATATTTCTAGGCTATCCTCCTTCATAGTAAAGTACACACATCTCATTAAATACATAAGGCCATCTATACTGATGCAGAAAGTAGAATAGATTATATTTCTAATTTTTATTCCATTTTTTTAAAATTTTAGTTTTAGATATATTTTAAAATGTTAATAAGCAAGCAGTAATACATATATAGAATTTAAAACTAAATTAATACACATATAATAGAGTGAATGATCCCAAACATTTTACTGATAGAAGAGTACATAATCAAAAACTTTTGGAGACCACAGGCCTAGATAACAAAGAACCAAGGAAATAGTGAAGAAACAGAATATGGGTTATGGGGCATAAAGGGATAACATTTTCCTATTTCTTCCCCTTCTGAATAACCATGTTGATCCTCAGATTTTCTCTGGCTATAAAAGACATTTGTAAGTAAAATGTTCAATGGGAAATACAGGATTTGAATGATAGCAAAGATAACTGATAATTTTTGTTTTGATGTTCTTTAAAGATATATGATTTACAGAATTGATGAGTGTAGGTGGTCAAAAGTACAGATTTCCAATTATATAATAAATATTTCATGAGGATGTAATATACATCATGGTGACTGTAGTTAATACTGTATTGGATGTTTGAAAGTTGCTGAGAAAGTAGATCTTAAAAGTTCTTATCACAAGAAAACACACTTTGTACTATGTGTGGTAACAGATGTTAACTAGACTTACAATGGTGATCGTTTTGCAATACATACAAATATATCATTCTGTTGTACACCTGAAGTATAATGTTATATCAGTTATGCCTTAATTAAGAAGTAAATAAAAAGACAAAAAAAGAAAAAAACCTGAAGGGGGGGAAAATAAAATTACAGACTAGAAATATTGAAGCATTAAAATCTAGGAAATGCCCTAGACGTTATTTCAAAATCAAAATATATTTTTAGAAACACAAAAAATAATTATCTTAGCTTTGACTTTATTACAAAGCCAAATTTGTGATATTTTTGTGACACTATTAATAATTAATAGTTGTTTTGATCAATTCAATATGAATGTTTTGTTTCTAACATTTTCTTTTGTTTTTAACATGTTTTTTATGGAATGAATTTTGAAAATGAATTTATGTCTTCCAACAAGAACGCAATGTTTGCTGTGGGTCTTCTTATGTTGTTTAGTTTCAGAAGTTTTAATTTATCAATCCTTTTTTTTTTTTAGGTTATAGATTGAGTCCTCAAACATTAGCTGCTATTGTTAAACGTTATAGCAAGAATGGCAGGATCTTCTTTGATGATTATGTTGCTTGCTGTGTGAAGCTTCGAGCATTGACAGGTATTGACCCTTTAAAAATGAATACAGCATCATGTAGCTATTTTTCTTAAGTAATGTCTTTTGCTTTCTCCAGTAAGTTTATATTACATGTTTTTTTTCCCTTTATTCACTGTTTAATCAAAGTGTTAAGGCTTTAAAATTTTTGGAATATAAATAGTGAAAAATTGTTATAGCGCAGTTTTGGAGTTTTTTTATGTCTGAGATATATAATCACTTAAGATTTAATGGAGTATGAAATTATTCATATTTTAGTACCTAGAAACACTAAGTATTTGAAACTATAGATTTTCAATTATAATAAAAATGTAATTTATTTGTTTAAAGATTTCTTTAGGAGAAGAGACCACTTGCAACAAGGAGTTGTGAATTTCATATATGACGATGTGAGTATCTGTAAACTTTTGATATTTACAGTGTTCTCAATGTGTTCATAGTTATCAAAAACTGTTAAATGATCCCTGGTATCAATACTGGGAATAATCTCTATTATAGGCCATGTTCTTTATATTTTTATAAGATTCAATGTTGGTACAAATACTAACTTGACTTTATATTAAACATAAAAAATACTTTTAAATTTTATGACAGGTTTTTGGCAGTTTTTCTTCCAAATCATTTTTAAAGGCAAAACTACCATTATTTTTATAAAGAGTGGTTTACTTGTGATGATCTTTCTTAGTTCTAATAGAGAGAGGAAATTTTCATCTATGATAGATTTATAAAGCTGTTAATTTCTCATTTCAAATGGTTGTTATTAACCTGAATCCAGTTTTGTTTTGTTTTTCTTGATACTATAGGAAAGTTATATTTTATATGTGTTTCTTGGTTTAGGGTTTTTGTTTTGCTTTTATGGGGAAGTTATAAAGCCAACATTACTCTACTGGTTGATAGAAGCCTTAGAAAATCAAAATTTCAAAATCTTATGAAAATACTTTTATGGAATGTAATTAATCAAAAACAAACAGCATTTTATTGGTACCACCTGATGATTTTTCTTATATATTAGTTTTTGCAGGGCACTATGGCAATTTGATGCCTAGAATTTGAAAACTGAAGGAATACTGTGAATGCTTCTGCTTGGAAGAAATGAACTGGACTACTTTAAATTAAAGCTTTTGGGGCTATCCTGTGTTTCTACCTGTTAAATCTTTTCTCTTCATAATATTTATAGTAGATCTAGTATAATGTGTTTTTATTTTAGCACACAATTTAAAGCAATAAAAGATGATTTTTGTATTTGGGATGCCTTTGCTTTTAGAAAAGTTATCACTTTATGGGGGTATATGATTGATATAAGTACCTCTTAACTTTAATTTTTAATAATATGAACTTGGAGGAATGTACTTACAAGATTATATAAGAAGCCAAATGATGAAAGCCTAGATAAAAGTCATTTATACTTATCTGAAGGTGAGCTAGAAAGGCAGTCCTGTGCCATATTCTTATTCGCGTTATCAGAGAACAGAAACTCATAGCTCTGTAACTGAGAAGAACATTGTAATTCCTAAAATTTTATCTTAAATTGCCTTAGGTGGACCATAAAATAATCTATAGTGAAATAAGACTACAGGAAGCATCATTTTCCTTTCTTATTCTTTACATTATATATTTTTCTTCAGTGTGTTTTGTTGTCTTCTCTGGACAGAAAGTTTTTAATAAACAACTTTTCTCTCTGTACTTTATTTTCTTGTTGGAGACAAAGATAACTTAAAATGGCATCTTTTTCTAAATCTAAATTTTTTGGAAATTACACCTTTTTAATGAAATGTCAACATTTAAATTTGTTCTGTTCAACTAAATTGTTGTTTCTTTAGAATGCCAACTATGTATAAGTTTAAAAAATCAAGTAATATACCACTTTGTTTAAATGTTCAGAAACTGTGCATTTGACTTTCTTGACAGCATTAGCTGGTGGTTTTGTCAGTAGGAAACCAGTGAGTTTTTTGGGCGTATCTGTAACGTGGGTGCTGAGCATGGCAGACACCACAGCAGTATTTCTGAGGGGTATTACTATGGGAAGTGCAGAGTTGGGCCACCAAGTTTTTAGCCTTTCAGATCACTGGTATAAGCTGTTACAGTTAATCCAGCCCCATTTTTGGCAACACCTTAAGTCTTTCTTAATGAAGATTTCATAAACATACTTTAACTGAATATCTTCTCCAACTTAAAGGTGAATACATCCCAAGATCCCCAGTGGGTGCCTGGAACCTATTATAGAAGTTCATAACTCTATCTATTCCATGTTATTTTCCTATAGGCATATACCTATGATAAAGTTTAACTTACAAATTAAACTTTGTATTAACAACAGTAAGTATAAAATAGAACATTATAACAATATACTGTGTTAAAAGAAATGTGAATGTGGTCTTTGTCTTTCTTGAAATCTTGCACTACACACGCAGCAAAGATATGCTGAGCGAAGGGATGATTCCCAGCCCAGGAGGGATGGACGGGGACACTCCAGGTTTCTTCACAGAACTCTGAGCAGCATGCAATTTAAAACATGAATGGCGTATTGCTGGAATCTTCTATTTTCTATTTTCAAACCACAACTGACCTTAGAAATAAACTGTAGATATTGGGGGCAATACTGTACAAATGGATATAACTTGAGTATGGCTGTGACCAAATTAATATATAGTTTTTATGAAACTGTATTTCTTAAAAAATGAAGGGTGAATAGTAGTATCTTGAAAAAAGCCATTTTATAAACTTACAGACTTTTAAATTTTACCTTTTAAAAAAATTCTGGAAAGGACAATTATAGTCATTTTGATATTGATAATTTTATATAATTAGCTGTCAAATTCACTTGGCTAGTTTTATAAAAATATAAGTTATCCATGTAAATTTGTCCTCTAGGTGTTAACTTTATTTCTTGAACACGTATTTGATAATGTGAGAGGGCATTAACTGAGCCAATTAAAAAATACAGAATTTTAAATAGTGTAGGAAAAAGCTCATATAAACACATTGTATGTCATTCCCATAGAATACGGCTGATACTATGACTCAGCAGCCTAGAATTTCAACATGCAGCTTATAGGTGGTCAAGTCACTGTACTCTTGAGTCAGTTAGAATTTTTCTTACTTGGAGGCTCCTCCTTGAGGTAAAACTTTTAGAGTGACATGATATTGGTATAAGTTTCTGCCAAATGATACTTTGTATTAGAACTCTTTACACAGTCCTCTAACTCAGCGATTTTCAACCCTTTTCATGTCATGGCACATATAAATTAATTACTAAAATTCTGCGGCACACCAAAAAATACCATTTTTTTTGCCAATCTGACAAAAAAAAAAGTATAATTTTGATTCATTCACACTGGTCAGCTATTGTTGTGTTGGTTGTTGTTATTTTTTATTTGACACCAAGGGAAAAGAGGTCAGTGCCCCTGACTGAATAGTCAGGTATGGCATGTTTTAACAATTCTCGTCGCTCACCAATGTGTCACAGCACACTGGGTAAAAATTGCTCCTTTTCTAAAGGTGTCCTTGTGATTTTTGGTCATAGGAGGTCTGTGAGAATGAGTTTCCATGGCCAGACATTGTTTGGAAGTTCTCTCTTTTTAGGGAGCTTGATAAAGCCCAAAGTATGTAAAATCCTGTTAATTTTATTTGACCCAGTTTATTCCAAACTTTTTTGTATGCAGAACCCCTTTTCCTAGCAGAAACAATGTTCCAGCCAATCCAACTTTATTCTTTTGTACTTTAGTTAATTAAATAATCTTTTAAAAATATTAAGCATAGAGAATATTTTACTTATATTAAAATGCAATTCACTCTTTTACTGTTTTAAGATATTTGATGTAAACTGATATCTATCACTAAAGTATTAATTAGTTTTATGATGAACATGACTGAAATATTAATACATCATATTAACATAGTAATTTGTACTGGTTAATTCATACTCCATTTTCTTATGATATAAATTATTGAATAATGTACACTGTTAATGTCTAAGCACTTTTATTTATAGAGTACACGTGTTTCCATGTCATTTTGAGAATTTTTTTAATAAACATTCAAATAGCTTGCTGTAAATTTTAGTATACAAAATCTGTTACATACATATTATGAGATGCTTCAATTCAAATAACAGTGCAGTAATTCACCTATGCCTAAAAAACTGCCAAATAATGAAATGTCAGGTATTCCACTTCTATTTCCAGTGCCAGTTTACACATTTGAAATTACATCAAGGGGAAATCAATACTATTAGAATGTTAGTTTGGTCCACTTTAAATGTAATCCTAAGGGCTGTGCTCATTTGATTTAAACATGCATTCAGAAACAAAAAGTAATGAAAACATCAAATGATATGTTTATTTCAAGAAAAGACATTTACCCTGGAAGAAAGAATTTGTTAATGTAGCTTAAAGTCTGTGCAATTAAAAAAAATAACAAAAACATCAATTTGTGATTAAGTAAAATACATAAATCAAGTTCACTTGTAATCTTACGGCATTGCTAAACTGGACAAACAAAATAAATACTGCTTATCAGAAATGTGCTTTTCTTTGTCTCTGTTTGACAACTTCATGGAGGATGTTTTCTATTTGTAGCAGTTTTCTGAGAAATTGATAGGAATGAATTTGTGAAAAATCTGGTAAATTAAATTTAGTAAGTAAAATCCAACATTTCTTTCAGTTTAACATATTTTTCTTTTAAACTTTATAATGCAACCATGGGTGTTTTATTACTTTAAAACTTATATTAAAAGATCACAATTTTTTTGGTCTTAATTTAGTCATGTACATAGTAAATTAAGCACTTTAAAATAAAGGTACAATACTAAGGTATCTAAAAGTATGTCTAGGCCTCATAATAACATTAGGTGATGCACAAACATTTTGAACTGATAATAGTAATGAAAGCAGGAAGGATTTTAAATGAACACTGTTCAGATATTTGTGGTAGAATAAGGTCATGACATCACAAATATACATATATTAAAACTTTTGTAATTTAGAATACTGAGTGCAAAATTTCTAGGAAAACTTATGAAAAATTTCCGTCTGACTATCAGCTCATTATTTGAACACTGGGAAATCTTGTGCTTTTAGTTTTTTCTTGCCGTGTCTTTTTCTACTTCTTTTTAAAAATGTATTTTACTGGCATATAAAAGAAGAGCCTTATATTACTTAACATTCCTTATTACCCAAGTAGCTTGGTAATATGCAGCTTTGTGTATTTGCGAGCATTCAAAACTCAGATGTGCTTCTATATATCTGAAGAGATAGTAAGTAGACATTGGCAGCACTTCTACATAACTATGATGTGCATAGAGTTAGGGAATGAGGAGGGTCCTTGCCCATGTGCTAGTTATTGTTTTAAGGTGTACCCCTTCTGTGCTATCAGAGATGGTGACAATTTGGAAAGCTTATAGGAATGAGAAGAGTTAGGTAGGTCATCATTTAATAACTATGCCAGGAATTAGTACCTTCTGATAACATTGCGTGTGTGGGGGGGAAGGCAGGATGTCCAACCTTTTCTTAAGCATAAAAATATAAATATGAACTTTATAGATGCATGCATACAGTCATTTGCATTTTAGTTGACTGTATTTAATCACATTTTATCTTGCTATGATTAGTGAAATTCCAAAGGATAACCTGAGCAGTGCTAGTATGATGGTTCTAGAAATACACTAAAAGATTCACATTCTTTTGAAAATTGTAGGCCATTTAAAAATGATTTTAGGATTAACTGAACCATTGGATGCATACTTTATTTCCCCAAACTACCTCAGTGCAGCACTCCCAAATTGTTCTTATTACAAGAGACTGAGTTTTTAAACATTAAGCTTTTTCATTCTTTGATTCTTATTTTTAAATCAGCCTCACTTACAGATAGCAATACAGTGCTTTCTGTTCATCTGTATTTGGTCTAGTTTTTCATTTATCAAATAGGGAAATGTTGTCTTGGATCTTTAAACCTGAAAAATGAATGGTGGGGATTCTAAACCATAGTCCTTAACTTAGAAAATTTCCACATCATGACCAACACATTTTATTTAAAAGTTTTCTTTGAAGATAGTTAATTTTTTTTCTTAAATAATAGATTAATGTTTCTAGGGGGGAAATTAAGATAGTATAAAACTTAGGCAAATGAAAATGTTATCTAGATATTTTCTTCTTGATGAAAAAAATTAAGCATGCATTATAATAGTTTTGTTTCACAGGTTAAAACTTCTTTAGCCACCAGAAAGTTTAAGTAATCAGATGTTTTAGTAAATAACATTTTGAATTGTATTCTTGTATTCTTGATGGGCAATAATAAAAGTAAAATGTTTTTGTTTCTTTAATTTTGATTTAGTGCTTTTCACCACTTAGTCCAGCTACTTAACATCCTAGTAAAGCTGTAGATGCACCGTTACAATTACGTGATTTTGTGGAATACATCAGCACCACCATGTCTATATCTAGTACTGTATCTAGTGAAATGTTGGAAATAGTTGACTTCTTTAATAAAAGTATCCTAACTAGCTATTGAGATTTACTTTCTTTTTCCCCAAAATAATTTCTTTTACAAATTCTTGAGTTTTCATGTATAAATAGATGAGAAATTATATGCTTCATTCTTAAATTATGTATATATGCTATATTTTCAATACAACTTGTACACTTTTAGCTACCAAAAATTTGCAATCATTTTTACATAAAATTTACACTTTTCATATTTACAGTTATTTGTAGAAGGTTATTGCAAAACTAGTTGTGCAAGTAGATTACACTGTCAATACCACATACCGATCTTTGAAGAAAATATTTGCTAAAAAATAAATATTTCTGCACAGAGTATTTCAAAAGCATCATGATTTCATGCTACATTATGTGCATAAAGACTAAGAAATAGTATGTGTTTTGGTAGATTTTTTCTTTATGTTTAAAGCATTCCAAGGTACTTACTACTTAACCAATGCAAGTGAGCTTTATATCAGGTAACTGGTATTTTCAAATGATCATACATTATTTTTTGAAATCTATTATTTAACTGGCAAGCATTCTATAATACATTTTTCTATTAAAATTATAGAATGCAGATTTCAGCTAAAAAGAGGTAATGTGCTTTTAATTAGTAAGTGCCTAGGAGAGAAAAACTAGGGATTCCTCAATATTTTTATCTTATTTAATATTTTGAAAAAGGGTGTCTTGTCATTTCAAAGCTTTTGTAATTATAGGGGCACTTAGATGAAACTGTGGAGGAATTTACTTGAATTTTACTCCTAAATAAAATAAGTATGATGGAAAGGTGTGGAGTTTTCTTGTACAACCAATGTAAGGTCAGCAGGGGAAAATATAGTTTAAATGTTGATAGTTGTGATTATTTTCAATTTAAAAACATTAGAAACAGGAAGAACAAAAAACATAGGTTAAACATATAGCACTTTAAAATCACAGGTGTGCCAAATTCATGTCTCTCAAAATATAAATTAACTAACGGAAGTCACAGATGCTATGACTACAATTTAGTAATTTTAAGTATTGACATCAGCTTTTCAAGAGTAACTGTGTTAATATTGCCACTTTATATAATAATAACATCTTATTGGGATCATTTCTATAATCTTGCTATTCTCATTTAAAAGTTTGATTATGATTGGGAGAACAATGAAATAAAATTGTATTCTTAACATTTGTGTTCTTAACATTGCATTTCTGTAGGTGTTTTATTCTGTCCATAGTATTAACTTGTTAGTTTTATTTTTTGTTAATAATCTCAATCTCCACTTAGTGGTTTATATAAATAAGCCTTGTGATAATTTCTTCCCATACTGTTATTAATCATTTTTGTCTTCCTGTGAATTTTCTGTATTTCATATTCTTAAAACAAAATGTATTTGTACCATAAAAACATGTAATTAATTATTCTAAGCTTGAGCACCGATCAATCACAATACCTAATACTTTATAAAGCATTTAAAATCATGATCCTTTTAGTTTTTAAAATATTAACATCACTTCGTTAGAACTGAAGTAGAACCACAAGAAAACAGCTTTGAATGAGAACACTTGGAAGGTCAGGGGAGAGGGCTCTATTGCATACCTAGAAAACAACTGCAATGCAAATAAATGTAAAATTTTATAAATGCTGGACAGAGGCAACATTTGACAAATACTGGGATGTTGTAGCGGAAAAAATATCCCTCACACTGGCGTTCTGCTCTGAGCAAATGGATCTTTGAGAGATGGGTGAGGATCCTTTCATAGGTTTTTTAAAATGTATTCAGTCTTTGTCACTGGTGTTACTGTGACCAGTGTGGAGCAGGGGGAAGAGCAATGGAAGGTTTTCAGAAGACCTCCGTGGTTCTACTGCGCTTCCGTGGCAATGCCACCATTGCTGTGACTGCACAGGTCACAGGGTGATCTACTTTTACGGTACTTTATGATTTACAAAGCACTTCCACACAGTATATTTTAGAGGCCCCTAAACACATCTCTTGAAGATATTACCTCCGTTTTTATAGTTTTGGATACCAGGGCCCACTGAGGGTGGTCATGAGAGTAGGTGGAGAAGGTCACATGTGAATTCGGATTCATCATACTGAGGCTTGCCATTCCCACCATCCACACTGGCGCTCAGGCAGTCTGAGGCTGTGAGATACAGCGGTGCAGTGAGGGAGGAGGGCTAGGTGTCTGAACCGAACCATCGCAAATTCTATTTTATGAAAGAAAAAATATATAAAGTATTTTCTTTCAAAATTGTACTTTGAAAATGTATTTTCCAATATCCATTTGGGAACTGTGCCCCATGAGTCTAAAAAGGGGCTTCCACAGTGAGGCAGCCTTTACAGAATCCATCCTAGTAGCACTGAATTTGATGGATCACCTTTGCATACTGGCCTTCAACATAGATTCAGAGTAGATTGTTCACAATGAGATTCATATTCTTTCTATTATGGTAATAGTAAGTATAACTTTAAAGCTATAAACCCAGTAGTGTGCAAAATACAATTAAGAGAGATAAAACAATAGCTACAAAACTTTAGTCTTGCTAACAGCTGTTGAGTTGGAGATAGCACATTGTGCAAAACAACTAAATTGTGAAAAGGTTTTGTTTTCCTGATTTAAATGTCATGTTCCTGGATGAGAACCAAAGAATCTAGCACTTTTTGAGCACCTACTATGTGCCAGGCACTTTATGGTATCTCATTTCCTCCTCAAGCTGCTTCAAGGCAGGTGCCATTATCTCATTTTTACAGGTGCAGGAAAAAGACTCTGGGAAGTTAATTAACTTGCTCAGGGCCACACAGCTACTAATGAACTCATGCTGATCGTCAAGTTGGTCTGACTTCCAAGCCCATGTTTTCATTGTTCATTTTTAAAACTTTCATGGGCTTAATAGAGGTGTCTGGGTCTCACCCACTGAGTTTCTGATTTAGTAGGTCTGTGTGGGGCCCAAGAATACGCATTTCTGGAAATTTTCAGGTTGTTGGTGCTAGTGCTGCTAATTCAAGTACTACACTTAATGTAATCTTGTCTTCCTAGTGACTATGAACTCACCTGATAGACACATTTGTTTTACTGCAAAAATATAATTAGAAACCTAATAACATTTGAATTTTTTAGTAATTTTGTAAAGTTTTGATTTGCAATAAGAAATCTGCTTAAATATATTGATTTAGTTTTGGTTTAATCATAGAAAAGCAATTTAAAAGACTATACTATAGCCCAGCCAATGTGGCTCAGTAGTTGAGCATCGACCCATGTACCAAGAAGTCACTGGTTCGATTCCCAGTCAGGGCACATGCCCAGATTGTGGGCCAAATCCCCAAGTGGGGGGCATGCAGGAGGCGGCCAACTGATGGTCTCTCTCATCAATATTTGTATTTCTTCCTCTCCAAAATCAATAAATAAAACAAAAATTAAAAGACTATACTATATTATAAATTAGTCAATGTTGAAATTCATTTTTACCAACTAGATCTACCAAATTCCTTTTTTTAATCATGGAAAACACTCAAGGGAAAGATACTGTCAATAATTATTTTAGATATGCTAATGAGGTGATAAATTTTATTTCTAGATAATATATGATGGGGCTTTTAGATAACATTTCGATAAGGACATTGTTCTTTTAGGCATTTTGGAACCATTGCTAGAGATCAACCTCCAACAGGACCTTCGTAAGCAATCCTTATACACGCATATTAACCCGGACACCAAACGCCACTCTGCCCTGACTTGGTTTCTGTAGCTCCTGACTTGGACAATTAGAAAGGCCGGCTGTGATGACCAATCCATTATAATGGACATGAGAAGCTAGGCTGCCCCAATGTGCCCCGGCCTTCCTCTGATGAATAAGTGATTATTAATTTTAAAACCCTGCAAGAACATTGCTTCAGTGTTTTTCATTCTTGGATTTCTCATTAACTAATCAGAGCGTGGGCCTCCCCTACAGGGTAAAATTATAAGTCTAAGTTTTAACTCTCTACCCAGCAATTAGTAACAGTAGGAAACATCTAACCCAAATAAACTTTACATTTTAGATGGCATTTTATTTAGGCCCGGGGACCAGGTAACAATATTTGTAGGTGGGAAGCAAAAGGTGTTGTGATGTGAGTGCCTCTAATTGCTCAAAGGGAGGGCTGTAGCTCTACTGATATTATTGGTTGCAGCAGTTAAACCCTGCTTTCCGCAGGACTCCAAGAGGGAGGGGTCAGACTGTTGTTGCTACAGCCTATGGGGAACGTGACAGTGATGTTAGGCATTCGCTCTTTGGCTGGGAGGAAGGGATGAATTTTGTAAATTAAGCTCATTGCTTTGGTCATCTATAAGGCATTTTAACCATTGAGTCCTCTGCCGTTTATACCTGAGTAATAGCATCTTTATAGTGCTCAGGCTCTTTTTAAGCTAATATCCTGTAGGAAGGGTCCTTCCGAATCCTAACTCTCTGATTCAGATTTTAATATCAAGCAATTATTTTATGTAAAATATATTTTTTTAAATGTGTCATGCTACAGTTTAGACAAGTGGGATGCTTGCACACTGTCCCCCACCTACCCATCCCTTCATGCTCAGTTTTTATGAAGGAGGATAGCCGCTCTATGTGGAAGGCGGGATTTTATGCATATCATTCCAAATGCTGCACAGCTGAAGCATTCACCAATCAAACAATCAGATCTAAATTCCTCACCTGCCAAATTCTCTCTCCCTACAAATGAACAGTCTCTGGTGAATTTATTCTGAATTTCCCTGGAGCTTAAGCTGGCAATCCTTATGAAATTTGTTGCAGCTGCAAAAATGTGCCTAAATATGGAAATAAAATCCCTAAATCATCCTCTGAATTAGAGTTAGCCTTTTCTCTCTCCCCTGCTCAGTACCCACAAGTGTTCATTGAAAGAGGGAATAAAAGCATCAATCCCTAAATTTCTATCTGCATAATAGCAAATTTGGGAAGCTGGTTAAAATTATTCTACTTGTACTGAATTGACTGGTCATTTTGGCATTTGTACTTGATTGAATATGTTTTGATGTTTCAAAAATTAAGCTGGGATTAACATGCTCATGCCTACAGATTGCCTCCCACACAGATTATCAATTTATGTGACCATTTAAAATATATATAGGCAGCAATTTAAGGTCACTTTAATTATACTTTAAATAGTGCAATAGTGTTATTAATTTAAATACATTGCTTGTATTTAACACTAATATAATTGTATAAATTGGTAAAGGTAAATGAGTAGAGGTAAATCCTGGAGGATAGAAATATAATATATTTAATAATATCCACAGGTGTAATCTTTTTTTAAAACTATGAGTGTAAGAATTAGTAAAGGACTAAGAAAACTTCAACAAATTTCAAAATTTTGTTCAGAAGGAACAAATATAACGTTTCAGCCCATAATATGTTTAAAATTGTACTCAAATGAATTGAAAAATAAAATAACTAGAACTTGACTAATCAGAATCATAAATTAACTTACAATTTTTTTCTGTACCTTGATTTTATAAGCGTTATAGGCCTCCCTCCCCAAAAGAAAAATCTAACAGTTGAAGATATTAAAATATATTCCATTGTATGTTCTGATATTCTGGAGTCGATGTGTATTCAGTCCAATTCATATATTATAGATTTTCATTTAATCTTTGATTAGCAAACGTATGTGAAGAAAACCCAGTAAAACCGAAATGTTATTGTTGGTGTGTGCGTTTTCTTTATAGGCAAGTAAATGCACATTGTTTTTCCACAGCTGGGCTTAGAAAGCCCTAAAACCACCTATACTCAACGTAAGGCAGTCTTGCCATGCAAATCCATTAAAACTGCACATTTTTCAAAAAGAAAACTATGTGCAATCACTCTTTTGATCAAATTCAAGATTGCCCTAAAACATAAATCAGAAGGAAGCTGTGAATATAAATTTTTGTCAGTCACTCTTTAGTAACCCCCCCCCACCCCCCCAAAAAAAAGAAAAATGAGAGAAATTTGTTTCTAATCATTCAAGGAAATGTGTCAGCAGAAAGCATTTTAGGTCAATGCAGTTCGTGACAATACACAAAAAAGCCTTTTTGTCCTCATTAATGCTTGCCTATATTCATGTATTTGGAAATGGCTACCTATATTGTCGAGATTTATAACTCTAAAACTGCTATTTTTCTGTGTGTGGGATGAATGTAATGAAGTGTAAGCATCCTGACACAGAAGGGTATCAGTTCTCAAAAATGACTAAGTTCCCTTTTTCCTCCTTGAACTTCCTTGAGTTGAGGAGCATCTGAGTTGCATCCATGAACAACTGTATCCCTTGGTTTCTAATTGAAGGCATTTTCATAACAAAGTACTGATTTAGTAAAAGCGGTACATAGGAGTCTCCATGCAAGAGAAACTGGAGTTTCCTAACATGCACATGATTTAAAAAATAAAAATAAAAAATAAGGTGCCTTGAGATGCTGGCAGTTTTAACATTTGGAACAAGAGTTCATGTGTATATTTACATCCTAACTGCTCAATTTTACCTTACAAGCTTCAATTTAGGAAAATATACAGTACTTTTGCATATAATGGTACCTTTGAGCCCCTGAGTCAAGTAGAGAGGATTTAAATACAAAAGGGAAAACAGCCATTAAAAGCACTTACATTGTATGTGGAATAAATAGTACAAAATGATTATTTCCCTGGAAGACCAGGATCGGAAACATGCCTGTGAAGACCCAAGATTCCTACAGTGCCTGGGGATGACTCTGTCAAAGAAGGATGCCTAGTTGGATGAAGGTAAGTTTTTCTTTGCCTTGAGTGAAGCTCTAAAGAAAGCTCCCTGTCTTGTTTTAAACACGAAGTCAAGTTGTCTTCCGAAGCCGGGTTCAGATGAACGCCACTTGAGAGTGCTTCTTTGGATTTCAGTTTAGATTTTTCAAGGTCTAGGAATTCAGGGCACTGATAGAAAGAAAAGAAAAGGTGCTTTTATAATTTATTTGGACAAATTTCCAAAATTACACTCATGAAATCTAAATATGTTTTCTTTCCCCATAAATATGTATTCACTTACTAGTATTAATCAACCTTTCCCTGCCAAAGATGGGTCAAGTCATTGTAGCTTAGGTGTTAGGTTAGGTAATGCCGAGCAATCATTCCAAGAACTTAAGTTTTACTCTGAAGTCAGAACAGTTTTAAAAAACAAAGCAAAACAAAATGTTATTTCACACTGAGTTTCCAGATGAGTTTTAACTCAAAATTCAAGACAAAACTGGGCTAGGAAGCATGGGTCATTTGTGAGAAGACAAAAGAAAAAGGAAAAGAAGGAAAAATCACTCATCAGTACTCAGAAAACATCTAAATCCACTGAAAACAAAGAACAAAACACATGGGTTTGCATGTTTCCCAGCCATTCAAAACTAGACATAAATGAATGTCTACCTCCGTATTTTAGAAAGATGGCTTTATTTTCCTTCTTCATATTTCCTCCTGTTATTAATATTGTTCCTGTCTTTTTTTAAAAAAAGGGGGTGTGTGCGTGTGTGTGTGTGTGTGTGTCTATGGAAAGTACCCTCACAGGGCGATCTGATGATAAATTCACCCTGTGCTAAATTGGCCAGGTCAGAGTAGGTAGTCACACCCCAGGCATATAACTTCTTTAGTAAAAGGTTTGACTTTGCCTTAAGTAAGCCCTGTCAATTTTTTTCTCTGTATCTAGGTTAACAGACCTTTGAAATAAAACATGACCATCCTCAAGAGAACACACACTGTTGTTCACTCTCCTGTGCTCCAGCCCCCACTGCGCTCTCTCCCTCCTCCAGGTAATGGCCCTCCGCTTTGCTGCACGATTCCACATGCATCGATGAAGCTGCAAGACTGTGATTCCCGGGGCATTTGCGATCTTGCTCCCCGGCATGTGTCGCCAGTTGGCTCAAATAAATTCTTCTAAAAATTCTCTATAGGTTTGGACGTTTCTTATGTCGACATTTCATCTCCCAGAATATTGTGCACTGAATTCCCACACTTTAAGGAAAGCTTTACACGATTGTGCTACACGATTGTGCTACACGATTGTGCTACACAGCCGTCCCTCGCCACCTTGCGCTTCTTTCGCAGCTTCACTCTACGGTGGTTTATCTCAAATATATTCATTAAAAAGTTGATGGAGACAGTGAAAATGATACAGCACGCGCTCGGTTGTCTGAGTCAATTACACACCCCTGTATTACAATTGAAATTGCTGTAGGGATGGACTGTAGGCCTATGGATTCGAGCACCCCAGGAATCCTTTAACACAGGGTGCATCCGCTAGAGTCTGGAAAGGATTAACCGCGATAAACGAGGGACGACTGTACATCCTTGTTTAAATAATCATTCTTAGATGCAATCTGGCCAGAGTGTTTAAGTAATTAGGGATGATTCCCAAAATAGAACCCCGAGGGAATTAGACTTTTAAAATGAACATAATTCAAAAGGGTTCATTGGAGGGCATCAGAGACAGGATGAAGGACACGTTTCATTCCTTCTCTCACCACCCTCCAGGTAAAAAGAAGAGTTTAAAGATCTTTGGTGATGTGTAGGGCACAGATATCTAAGATTACTACTCTGACATCCCTTGAACCTCAGGTCTTCTGTGGCCAGCTACTATTTTTCCTCCCTTCCTGCCTGAGACCTTGCCCAAGAGTGCATCTGGCCACTAGAGCAAATCACAGACTTTTCTCTGAAGAGCTTTTTGGACCCAGGGCTACTCCTTAGCTTTCAAAGCTCTGCCATATATACACATAACCACAGAACTTATATGCATGTATGTATAACCAACGGACACAGACAACAAAGCCGGGGAGGGGGTGGGGGGGGTGGGGAGGAGGGTGTCAATGGTGAAAAAAAGGAGAAATATTTGTAACAAAAATAAATTAATAAAAAAAAAAGATGGAATGTAAACTTAAGTAGACTGATTCTTGAGAAAAGCTTTTTTTTTTTTCTTTAAAAGTAGTGTTTTGAGATCATTATTCTAGGTCCATTGTTCTCAAACCTTAAATGAGCATAAGATTCAGGGGGAGCTTATATAAAATGCAGATTACTGGGCCCATTCCCAGAAATTCTAATGGAGTAGAAGGAGAACCTGCACTTCCCAGAGCGCCCCAGGTGACTCTGATTCAGGTGGTCCCTGGAACACACTTTGAGGGACTCTTGGTTGCACACTATCTGCACTCACTTGTGAGGAAGGACTGAAACTTCGATCAGTCTTGATGGATGCTCCCGGATGACTGGTTCTCATCAGGTGGATGGTGGGTCTCTGGTACTCCGCTCCTGCAGTCACCATACTGTAGGCCGGGGGGACCACGGTGCTTTGTTTCTGCAGCAACTGCAAGATGGTCTGGATGTCAGCAGTCACTTGGGATTCAAGTCTGCAGGACAGACAGAAATGAAGGAAGACAGTCCCCAAATAGTACATCATTGCAAAGAATTTGAGAAAATCTCAGCACCACTATTGTGTATTGATTCAATATGATTTCAAATCCACTTGTTTATGATTTAAGTGAAGTTGTTTTAATCCACCTGTTATGACAGAGACAAACACTGTAGAAGTGCAGTTGTTTTGATAAAAGAATGAAGTAAGTTGTATCAGGAAGTCATCTCCTCTGTTGTCTCGATAAGAACATGTGGAGAAGAAATGGTGGCAAAGGAACATGTAAACTAAAATTCTGAGAGTTTGTGAGGACAGTCCCAGAGTTTTGATCAGGGCACGTTGACATCTTGCTGACCAAAAAATAGCTCTTGAAGAGCTTGAGACATTTGCTCCTGCTGGGACCAAGGCGACTCTTGGGTCAGCAGTGGAACTAGAGGGCAGCCATCTCAGGAAGAGAAGAAACGTCTGTTCTGCCTCCCGGAGGCACTCCTTGTGGGCAGTGGCACAAAGCCACGCAGCGGCCCCTGCAGTGATAACTCTTGGAGCAGCCCGAGCCTCCACCAACACTGGGGCCTTTGTTCCCTAGCAATGTGCTCTAGCAACAAGGGCCTTTTATTTTTGTGCTGGCAGCTGGATGTCAGCTCTTGGTTGGCCAAGTGCCTCTTCCAAATGCCTACTCATATAAAAAAGTACCTCATCTAAATTTGGACTTTATTCCTTCTCTCTCTACCTGGAATAATAATGTAATTAATCTATCCTTGCTTTGCAGTATGTTATTTTCTCTATTTGGCTTATTAAGAGACATTATCCTGTGTGCTATTGGCTTGTGAAATTATAATTCCCAAAAGAAAACCTCTGCTAACTATATTGCTGGCAAAGACAATATGAGTCTCTGAGCATGGTTTTGCCACCCAAACAAAACAACCAGCAACAAACAGAATCACGGCCCTGCTTTAAACAAGAAGAACAGGAGAGGGAGCATGGAGATTCTCTCCCGGCTGATGCTAACTTTCTGTCTCATTAACGGTTCTGCTAAAGACCGCTGCTTTCTTGCTCGTTTAATAAGATCATAACAGCAAAACAGCTTAATTGAACAGACTACATTTTTACAGTGCACATTGTATTACATTTTTACAATGAAGCTTTATTGATTTCAAAATGTAAAACACGCTGAGAATCTATTTTTAATCAATTACCGTCTTTTCTTTGTAATCAGGCTTTGCTCAGTTTCTCGTGAACATTTATTTACTCTATAAAAAAGAGATTTGGTTAGCACATTTTATCATTTTTAAGTTTTTTAAACATTGATTTTGAGAGAGAGAGAGAGAGACAGAGACATCGGTGTGAGAGTGGAGCGTCCTCCCAGGATTGGAGCCGGCCACCCTCCAGTGCACAGGGCGACGCCAAACCCACTGAGCCACACCGGCCAGGGCATGGTTAGCACATTTCTGTCATAGTTAAAACAACTGGATACTTTCTTTTTTTTTAAATCCTCATCCGAGGACACTTTTCCATTTTTTGTACAGACAGTGTGGGAGGGAGAGAGAGGAAGAGAGAGAGAGAGAGAAATATCGATGTGAAAGGGACACATCGAGTGGCTGCCACCCGCACGACCGACCAGGGCCGGGGACAAACTGCAACCGAGGTACATGCCCTTAGCGGGGACCGAACCCGGGTCTCTCCGGACCGCAGGCCGACGCTCTAACCGCTGAGCCAAACCGGCCAGGGCTGGATACTTTCTTATTTGTTTCAAATTTATATCATCTTTATTTTACTTTGCCTACCTCCTATTCACATCAAGAATCGTATATTATTCATTATAGTCTTTCTGTAATGTTAAGTACTGTTAAATGTTAAATTCTTTCTCATCTACAGTTCAGGGTCTTTGGTATTTAAGAAACAAAACAATGTAAAAGTTTACTTGCTTCTATGATCCATCTGGCTTGCAAAACACCAATCTGATCATTTTTTAACTCAAAGCTCACAAGTAGCCAACTGGCTTGTTAATTTTATTCTCAAATTAAAATTCAAGGGAAAATACAATAGGGCTGATTCCCCTTCTTTGCATGTGTTAACAACATTTTAAAAAGGGAATTTTGAGGGCATCAGAACAGAAAATTTAGACCATATGCCTCTTTAGACAACTTTTAACTCTTTACTGACTTGGCTTACTCTTCTGTCTCTGAATGAAAAATGCAAAGAAAAGCTAAACCTTACCAAAAATGTTAAAATCATAAAAAAACTAATTTTGCTCAATTATATACATGCTATATGTATGGAAAAGAACTTAGGCTTTGATTAAAAGAGAAAATAAACCTGGAAAACATGAGAAAATATCATTTATTTTCTTTTTAACTCTCAGTATTAATTGATACTATAAATCTTCCTTCTGAAAAACATTATTCTTATAGGTTTTCTATATTTGATGTGCATATATATATATATATATATATAGATAGAGAGAGAGAGCTTATTGTCTTCTAAACCAATAGTTATAAACTATACGTGATTCTGCCTTGTAAATGACAAAAGCACACATTGAAAAAAGAAAAATCGTTATCAACTAATTTATTTATCTACTTGTTATCCAGAGGATTGATCTACTTTTTTTATGATAACAACTAAATTGAGCAGACTAGTTATTGCTGTACATCATTTTTCACTCCTCAGGGTCCAGCTCAAATTTAATCTGCAACCAAAACTCTTCCCTTACTCTACCCATTCAGAATTAATTTCTCTCTCCTCTGAGCTCCCAAAGAAAATTCTACATTCGGTCTTCATTGTAAATATTTCTGTACAAATTTATTCTGTCACTAACAACATTTAATATTTAGTGTGTGGCTTACACATGTTTATTACATTGGGTTTAAAAGAATTTGGGGATGGAGAGTACAATAAAAACTTCATCAGTAAGGGGGATTCAAGCCCCACTAGATAGTCAAACATTCTGGCAATGTTTCTGACACCTATGGAAGATTTTGGTAGTGGTCTCTGAGAAACGAGCTTTCTATATCATGGATTATGTCTGTTTGAACAGAGTCTCTGAAGAAAAAATATATTGGAAGGTGGAGTTTTATTCATTGAAACATGCTGCCATGAGCAGGACTCACTTCACCTTAAATGTGCTTATCAAACAAGTTTTATTTATCAGACTTGCTTCCAGAGCCTTACCTCCTTGTGTCCAGCTGTTCTGGGCTATTATGTCACGAACTGTGCCCATTTCCAATCAGTTCCCCACCTGGAAAGGGCCAGACTCTAAAATCCTATAAATATCCTACTTTTTATTCCCTCTGAGATATCACCGAGGCTCCATCAAGAGGGCAGACTCCCTTCCTGCCAGGATTTTGAATACTTACTTTTGTTTTTGTTAACTGCAGATCTGGTATTTTGGGTAATTCGATGCAATGATTAAATGTTGATGCCCCGAATTCCTTTGTTGAAGCTCTAACCCCTAATGTGACAGTATTAAGATGTGGTGCCTTTGGGAGGTGAGTAGGTCCTGAAGGTAGAGCCCTTATGAATGAAATTAGTGCCCTTATACAAGAGACCCCAGAGGGCTTCCTTTCGTTTTCTACCTGTGAGGATACACACAGAAGACAATCATCTGTGAACCAGGAAGCTAGCTCTCACCGGACACCAAATGTTCTGGTACCTCGATTTGGGACTTTCCAGCCTCCAGAACTGTGAGAAATAAATATTTGTTGTTTGTAAGCCACAATTCTATGGTATTTTATTACAGCAGCCTGAACAGACCAAGCCATTCAACAAAGGGGAGCTTTAGGGAAGAACTTCTTTATTAGGCATAGATTATATTTTCATGTTTTATGGCCAGGGTCTACTGGCTTCATTGGCCTACTCTTCTATTGAGACTAAATAATGTGCTTTACTCAGGAGGGATGACAGAGAATCTTTTTAAAAGTCCAGCTTGACCTTTAAAACTGAAAAGAACAACCCAGTTTTAAAGGTTTTTTGGTCAGTGAAGGGTACCAGCATATGTCACCCCAAACCGTGCTACTTGGGCATATTGATTATTTTGAGCTGCAGGCACATGAAAAACAGCAAATGCAGGGAGAGGCTTCCTCTGAACTCCTATTGTCTGTCTGAAGGCAGATCCCCCCAAACTAACTCAGTTGTCATAAATCCCCTCCCTGGGAGTTTTACCTACCAGGGAAGTCTGACTCTTGTCACAGGAGAGGAGATTAGAAGTTCCAGACCCAGGACGACTTTGTCACTAACCATCATTCCTCCCTTCTCTTTTTCTGTAGGTCTATTCATCTTCCCTGAAAACCATTGTCTCTCCTGTAAGAGGCCTACATGCCCCTTCCCTTGCTCTATTAAGATGGTATTTAACCTTGAATTCTGAGCCACTTTGGAAGTTACTTTTCCCTGGGCATTTCCCATGTATACATGAAGTATACATGTTAATAAACATGTTTGTTTCTCCCTTGTTGATCTGTCTTTTATTACAGGGGTCTCAGCTAAGAACTCAGAAGGGTAGAGGGAAAATTATTTTTCTTTCCCTACATCAGCATTGCTGTACTTCTATGTAAACTGAATGTTTTCATTCACTTATTCAAAGACTCACAATGGACCAGACACTGTACCAGGTAGGAAGGTGAAGGGAGGACATGATGATGAATAAAAGTGGACCCTAATCTTGGGTGCTGACTGGAACTGACGACTTCAGATGGGAAAATAAAGGAGGAGCATGAAAACTACAACTCTAGGTGAAGCAAGTACTCAGTGCCACAGTGAAGGCAACAGATACATTGCTCTGGGCGCTCTGCAAGGGATGGAACCATTGCTAAGAGCTTGCACATTCTCCAGGGCCTCCCTGCTCAAAGTGTGGTCCAAACTGGGAGCTCGTGGAATCTCTGCCCACTCCAGACCTACTGACGTAGAATCTGCATTTTAACAAGATCCCCAGGTGCTTAAAATGCACATTCAAGTTTGAGAAGCACTGCTTTAGGACCAGGTGTTAATGATTTCCCCAAATATGTATATCTGTAGACATAATCTATAAGAACATTTCTTAGGTGAACCTTTCCCACAAATATGGTTTAATTGGCCATTAAAGCAGAAAAGCGGCAGCAGCAGCAAGGACAATTCAAGACAGAACATTTGACTTTGCTTTTATTGCGTTGTGTACTTAATATGTGTATTTGGGCGAGACTAATGGGGGTGGAATCCATGGTTCTACATTGGAACAGAAGGCTGATGCTAAGCGAGGTGGAGCCAACTCGAGACAGCGTGCCAGGATTCTCACCCCACAAAATTAAAGACCAAATTGGGTTCCCTCTTCAAAATTGCTTTGCCTTCTAGAGTAAAGTGGAGGAAAGCAGTTGTTGGAGTTGGCAGCACAGTAAAAATATAACATTTTGGATTTTCTATTTAAGATGTCAAAAGGGGCTAAGCTGAGTTAGGCAATAAAGTATTTGTGGAAGTATCCGAAATAGAAGTTAGTCAAAGGAAAAGAAATATGTCTAAGGACATACAGATGCTGGGAACATGTCAAAACAGATTTTATTATACTTTGGCTGTGGAAATGTTTCTAACAATAATAATAATAACAAAGATAGTATAATAAAATAACAACAATTATTATAACTAATGGGCAGTTGCAAATCAAATGGGTTCTAGATGTATGTGCTCTTAAAATTTTATACTTTCAGCCCTGGGATATATTGCAAACAAATGTTTTCAGTAACGCTTTACTTAACACTAACTGCAGTGATTGGTACATATGACAAGGCAACAGGGGTAACCTAAACTATCAGCTTTAGTTCTGAGGAAAGGTCCAAATCAGCCCTGGCCAGTTTGGCTCAGTGATTAGAGCATTAGCCCATGGACCAGAGTCGCAGGTTTGATTCCCATTAAGGGCACGTACCTCGGTTGCAGTTCGTCCCTGGCCCTGGTCGGGTTTGTGCAGGAAGCAATCAGTCGATGTGTCTTTTTCACATCAATGTTTCTCTCTCTCTCCCTCTCTCTCCCTCTCACCCACTCTATCTGGAGATAAATAGAAAAATGTCCTTGGGTGAGGATTGAAAAATAAATAAATAAATAAATAAATAAATGTCTAAATCAGAAAATACAGAAATACATGTAAAGAAGGAGAATAAACTTGACAAACAGCAGTACTAGAAGTGAAGGTCATTGTTTTCTTTTAATCCTCACCTAAGGGCATTTTTCCATTTTTTGTTCAGATTAAGTGGGGGAAGAGAGAGAGAGAGAAACATCGACGTGAAAGGGACACATCGAGTGGCTGCCACCCACACAACCCAACCAGGGCCAGGGACAAACTGCAACCGAGGTACACGCCCTTAGTGGGAACCGAACCCTGGTCTCTCTGGACCACAGGCCGATGATCTAACTGTGAGCCAAACTGGCCAGGGCATGAAGGTCATTGTTAATCAAATTTTATGTAACTGTAAGTATAACACCCTTTACATAGCATATATAGTTTCCATGTGTATTGTCTTAGTCTTTACAATGGCATTGCAGAGAGAGATGAGTCAAAGAAAGACACTGAAGCTGGAGAAATTTCAGTGACTTCACCCAATCATTCTGTAAGTGGTCAAGTAGCAAAGTTATTACTTTAATTTAGGCTATTTACAAGTATTTTGCAAGTATTGTGCTAAAAATCTCACTGTTTTCCCTGACATTCATCCACTCACTTTTTTATTTAATAAACAAACTGAATATATATGTATATCTTGGCAGTAAAGAAATGGACAGTTATTTTCTCTCAGTCACAAGAATCAAAGAAGTTCAAGTTCAGGCCACACTCACATCGATTCTCATGTATTAGACAGTATATAGTTTTACATGTGTTAGAGATAAAATATCAAAGTTGCTTGGCACATATAGCAGGGAGAGCAATATTGCAAATGGATTAAAGTAACTAAATACGCTTCTCTAACCAATAATTATCATAATAAGTTCTTATAATTTAATTAGGAATTACTGACTCTAAGTAAATGATAACCTATTTCCTCAGGTGTGTTTTAATTTACAAAATTTGAATTTGACACTTGGGAATGAGATATGGATCTCAGCACCAGGCGATTTTAAATTAAATTATACTTTATGGTAATATATCTGTGTGTGCACACACAATTTAATGTGTTTACTATATTTGAAAATGTTCAGTTCTAGCATAAGAATTTTAAAAAGCAATAAAAAGAACAACAGGATAAATAAAACACATAAGAAATATTAATCTGAGTAAATAAATAGGGAACATACATAGTTTAGCAAAACTTTTTTTTTTAGGCAAAACTTAAATGATGTGTTAAGTATAGATAATGTATAAGCAAGTAACACATTAAACATCGGCATAATGTATTGGTGTATTAAATGCAGAGAGTATGGAAGTAACCTGTAAGACATGCCAAAAATAGAATAGAAATATGATGTAACAAACCAGAGCGTAGCTGATAACATAGAAAGAGATGAAAAGAACAAATTATTTTTACGTCACCACGGAGCAGACACTTTCACCCCCAAATTTGATCACCCATTGGTGATGCACAGTATAGGTTCATTCCGCCTTGCACAGGCTTTACCTACAAAAGGCTAATAAACACATCATTGTTCTGCAGACTAATTACATGTTAGGCACTTGGCCTCACATCTCTGTGACAGAGCAAGTGTGTGCCATTGGCGCAGGGGATTTTTTTTTTTTGTCTGTGGACTCTTTTGTGAAAACCTTAACTCTGGTCCTAGTAACCACACTATCAGCAGAGAAGGCTGATGCGACAGGTGTGAACATTGGGTAAATCAGGACTCAGGTACTGTGGCCCTTTTACCATGCTTGCTCGTTATAGAAGCATGTTAATTACTACAGCTGGCTCTTCTCATCTCTCATTGAGCAATTTCAACTGATTTAGTAAATCCTCTGACTTGAGCATTACAGTTTGATTCATGAAGTTTCCCAGCTGTGACCACTGGAATACCTTGCCTGGGGGTGTACCTGGAGGCTACCTTTGAATCAGTGTAAAGTTCCAGGGAACCTCATCTACAGCAGCTATATCAAACGCATTCGTACATTTTTTTTTCTGAGTCTTACTGACCAGTTTTAATTTTAATAAATACACTTAGATTTGGGTTAAAGCGTTCCATCCTCCCTAAAACCAAAATTAAGTCCTCATTTTTAAAAGGTTTAGATCAGAGATAGAAGGAAAATGGGGAGGACCTGGCCTTCAGCTCTGAGATTTTCCATTCAATTACATTTTTAACAAGTCGACTGAGTAACTGAATGTTTAAATCGTCCTGTTGATACTTAAAAAATATATATAACACATAACTAAGTTACCAGAAACAGCCAAAAAGCATTAAAAGACGAAGGGTGTTTGTCAACAAGCTAAATATGAAAAGTTTTCTTAGGCAGCTGGTGTGGGTGATACACTGGTTTTATGGCAAGTAAAGAAAAAGTAGAGTTTACACTGTCAAAAGTATGAAGTGTTCTAAATAAATGCCCTTTGAAACACAGATTAATCATTCTGTCAACTTCTAGTCTTACTTTATTTTTTCTTTATTGATTTTAGAGAGAGGAAGAAAGAGGAAGAGAAGGATAGAAATATCTATGAGACAGAACATCGATTGGCTGCCTCCTGCACGCTCCCTACTGGGGATCAGCCACAACCTGGGCATGTGCCCTGACCAGAATGGAACCAGCAACCTCTTGCTGCATGGGTCAATGCTCAGCCACTGAGCCACACTAGCTGGGCTCTAGTCTTATTTTAAATCAGTGAGCGTAGAAGGAATTAGATTACAGCACGAGGAATTTGCTATTTACAAGGAGTTAAGCTAGACCCAACTAAGGCTTTGGTTTATGTCTGCTTTGCCCTGGCATTGCCAATACCTGTTAAGCTGTTCCTGAAGCAAATCCAATCTTTGCTCCACTTCCCCATAGGTGAGGTCACTGTCTGTTTCAGAGATCCCCCAGGCAGTTTGCTGAAGTGCTGAGGGACTCGACTCATCTGCCTGAGTCTGGGCATTTTCTTGTCCCCAGCTTCTTGTGTCAGAGACATCTGTGGGAAATAGCAAGATGAATGTCAACTTCCTTGGGTGCCAATTGGCATTGGTAACACAGAGATATCCACAATACAAGCAGGAAAGGATCTTAAAGTATAACCCAAAGACAGACCCAGAGGAACTCAGGGACCTATCCAGGGACCACAACCAGTTGCTATCTGTGTCCCACCCACCTTGACCCTGCTTGCAACCTCTCTCGTTCATTTCCACATGAATAAAAACATACAGCCATGCCAAGCTGGCGTGGCTTGGTGGTTGAGCATCGATCCATGCACCAAGAGGTCACCAGTTGGATTCCCAGTCAGGGCACATGCCCAGGTTGTGGGCCAGATCCCCAGTTCGGGGCATGCAGGAGGCAGTCAATCCATGTTCTCTCTCATTGATGTTTATAGCTCTCTCTCCCTCTCCCTTCCTCTCTCTAAATTCAATAAAGAAAAAAACAAACAAAAAGCATACAGCCAGTTTTGACTCTTATATACAACTTTGCCTTCTTTCTGTTTGTGCTAAGAGAAAATATGGATGGCCAATCCAAAACTGATGAGAGAGCAGTGATTTTGTGATTTTTTATTTGGGAAGAAATGGCACCATTTGTTGGTACTATTTCACACTTGAGTTTAAGATTTTAGGGCTCTTTCCTGCAGGATAATTTGCATACTTCATGATTCGGAGTGGGCCCAAGAAGGGAGCCATAGAGAAGTGTTGATGTTCAGGGGGGTTCCCTTAGGCCAACCCAATTCAAAGTCAAGCCAAGAAACCACAGGCCATTAAGATTAGAAGAGTCTTAAAGGTCCTCTAGTCCCATGACACTTTTAAGTTTTTCTGTCTCCTTGTAGCTCCTTCTGCACTGTCCCTTAATATAGTCACATTACTTCCAATAGTTTTCTGTGGCTTTTATTTAGAATATTTTTAAAATACGTTTTTATTGATTTTTAGAGAAAGAGGAAGAGAGAAGGCGAGAGCGATAGAAACATCCATGAGTGAGAAGCATTGATTGGCTGCCTCCTGCATGCCTCCCACTGGGGATAGAGCCTGAAACCCGGGCATATGAGCTGACCGGGAATTGAACCAGCAAACTCTTGGTGCATAGGTCTACGCTCAACCACTGAGCCACACCAGCCGGGCTATTTATGTTACTATACTTTAAAACGTATTGCTTATCTGTTCACATCCTCTTTTCAAAAGCTCTGTGTGTCTGTTATGTGCCACATAGTCTGCTGAATTCAGAGGAATTCAAGACAAAGAAGACATAGGTCCCATTCAGTCTAGCATGGTTTTTCATATAGAGATTTGTTTTCCGATCTTCTTTAAATGTACTGTTTCTCCTACCATCTATATTTGCAAGTTATCAATATCTTAGAGCAAATATAATATCTTTCTTTTCTCTCATCCTTGTCACATACTTTTGATGGCTTCTGCTCTGCTTTCTTATCCTCTACATTTACATACCTCGGAGACTTAAAATGATTAAAAAGTTGGAAAATAAAACCCATGAAAAAATATTAGTAGAATTGTGAGTTATTTTACAGATAAAGGAGTGACATTTCTTCCTCACTGGGAGAACTGGTAGGAGGAACAGACGATCTAAAACTGGTTTTCATTTTCACATTGAAACAGATTTGAATTAGAGGTACTGATTCTGGTTTGATAGGCTTTTGTTTGTTTGTTTGTTTTTGGACAGGTAACTATGATCAAACTCTGCAAAAGTTATGTCAAGTTAAGAACTATATATCCTTGGCTGTTTAAAATATAGACAGAAAGTAAGTGATTTGGTGAAAGTAGCTATAATTCTAGAAATAGGGAATAGGATGTACAGGACTTCTTGAAACCCCTTTCTTTTCTACAGTTTTTTCAAAGTACAGTCAGATAGCTCAAAGGCATACCCTTCCTCCAAGTAGCAGACTAAATTTCTATGTTCTTCTTTTCATTGTTTTTCTATCACTATCCTTTTATTACTGAAGACTCAGATATTTCTCTAATGAGGGGCCTACAATTTCTGCTTCATTTGGGTGAAGCTATAACAAAGAATTAGCTTACTTAAAGACAGCATTGGAAAATATCAGGTCAGGGTTGCTTGTTTTGTTGTAATGGGTAGCCTACCTCAGAGAGGTAGGCTCACTATGAATTCCAGAATGGTTCTTTATGATTAAGGCTTTCTTAGCCTATGGGATCTTGGTGGATTTTGTGTGTGTGTGTGTTTTTAAAGCAACAGTATTATAATTTACCAAACCCAACAACATGCAGATAAGCATAAAAATATGAAACGCCTGGAGTTTTAACTGGTATATCAGCAGATTTTCAGGGAAAAGTATGACTTACTATTCACAGGCATGTGACCTTTTAAAATGAAAAACAAAGATGAAATGTCCTAGTACACCTGGATTTCAAGTTTGGAGCAGCAATGACAAACAAACATTCAGAACACACATATTAGCAGCTTGGTGATGTCAATGTTTGTCCCTGTCTAGCTGCCGGCTAGCTGATTAATGTAGGAATTTTTAAAAGAGATAATAAGAGATAGGATGAAGTTACATGTAATGCTCAGAAGTTTTGTGCCAAGAAAGTGTACAGAATTTCTGCCTATGCTTAACAGCTCTCTCATTCTCAAATCATATATAATAAATTGATATTTGAAGAATAATGGTGGTCCTGGCAGGTTTGACTCAGTGGTTAGAGTGTCAGGCTGCGGACCAGAGAGTCCTGGGTTCAGTTCCCGCTAAGGGCACATACCTCGGTTGCAGTTTGTCCCCGGCTCTGGTTGGGGTCGTGTGGGTGGTAACCACTCGATGTGTCTCTCTCACATCAATGTTTCTCTCTCTCCTCCCCTCCTTTTCCCTCCCATTCTATCTGAAGATAAATGCAAAAAATAATAATAATAATAATAATGGTGAATCACTTGCAATAAATTATGTAGGGTTATATTTTTTTATTCAGTGCTCAAGGAACAACAACAAAAAACTGATTATGATCCCTTAGAAGAAATGAATAAAATGTAAACTTAGATAGAGGCTTTCTTAATTATAATTTAGTTTTTTATTAAAATCTGCATATGTGTGATTTGCTTGTTTTACAGTAATATTAAAAAAAAAAGAGTTCAAAGGGGAAATCCTGGTTAGGGTCTTAATCAAAATGAGCATCCTTGTAGACACTTTCTAAATATAGCTCAGAAAGAATCTGCTCTTGGTTGCCTTGGAAAATGTTGCTATAGTTGCAAGACACATTCCTGGAAATGAATGAACAGAAAGTAAACTTTCATTTTTCTCTGGGTACACAATTTTCCTAGAGTCAACTTGTGACCTCACTCTAAGTAGTATCAGAGTCCATTTCATTTAAAATTTTTTTTTAATTTTTAGTTTTGCCTAAAGTTGCTCTGCAGTTAGATTTATCATGACAAATGCCAGGACTGTGAGTAAGGGAAATTTCCTATTAACGATAAAACTAAAAATTGAAGTGATTTAGTAATTCAAACTACAGCTGTTACAGCTGCATCATACATGTTATCCAAATGTTCAAACATTACATATTATTTTACCTTAAATAATCATTAGGGAATGAAATTTGCAGTGGTTTTATAATTCTTTTTTTTTTTAAATCCTCACCCAAGGATATTTTTTCCCCCATTTATCTTCAGATAGAGTGGGAAGGAGGGAAGGAGAGAGAAAGAAACATTAATGTGAGAGGGATACATCGACTGGTTGCCTCCTGCAAGACCCCAACCAGAGCCGGGGACAAACTGCAACTGAGGTATGTGCCCTTGACCAGAATTGAACCTGCAACTCATTCACGTGCATGTTTAGCTATGCATTTTCAAAGTAATCATTCATTATTTGAATAGGGATTTCATTCAAAATTTTGAAAATTAGAAATATATAGATAATAAAATTGTTAGAATACTATTTTACTGTACATGTAGAATAACTAATTAAAAAATAATTGGAAGAATTGGCAAAGAAAAACGTAAGATGAAGGGCAGGAGGATTCACTGTTAGCAGAAGGCAATATAAAGTCGAATAAAATCCAAAAATTGTATCTTCAATAACTCGTCACTTGAGGCCCCAACTCAAGTGAAAAACAACAAAAAAGTCCTGTAAAAAAATATCAGGCCCACAGTATGCTGACTTCTGGAGATAGTAGAGGTGGGTCAGCAAGCTCTTCAGAATTTTAACCTCCATGATACAAACTCTTTCTCTTTTTAGCACTTCCCAGAATTCGTTTTCATAAATAACTAAAATGGGACATTTGGTAATCATATCTAATATTTCATTCTTCTCTTGTGATAAATGAGGTCCTATTTTCATTCACTTCATCAAGATTTTAGATTGTCCAGAGAACATTTGCTTAATTCTTAGCTTACTTCAATGCAGGGTCATGGCAAAAGCTGATTTGATAAAATAAGGAAAGTAACTGTGGAAAAATATAAAGCCTTAACATCCTAGATTCAATAAAACTTTTGTTTTCTAATATAGTCACTTCAAATAATGGTGACAATGATAGATAATATTTACTTACTTTGACTCATAATTTTACTTTTCTGCTATCTGAGAGTATACAATTTTTACCTCATTTCTGTTATATTCTTTTGAGTTTTTGTTATACCCTGTACATTTTTGTATATTCACGAATATAGTCAATGATTAAAGTGTTGGAAAAATAAAACCTGTGAGAAATTACTAAATCTAATAGGGGATTTTTCTTTTTCCAGAAAAGATAATTTATGCATGTTATCTTGTTAACATTGACAATTGGTGTGAGTTAGAAAATATTATTCCTATTTTAAAGATATGCACACTGAGTCTTAATGGGATTGTCAGTCACTTATCCTAAGTCATAAAGGGAGCAAGTGACAGAGTTATAATTGGAATCCAAGTAGCCTGAGTCATACCTATTCTGCCCCCACTTAATAGATAAATCTAACAAGATCTCTAGATCTAGCTCCTGTTATACTAAGACAATCGTTCTTCCAAGTGATAGTTCTCAAGTCTTCCTGAATTTTCCATCCATTAGTATCATATTTACATTCATTGTTATTCATCTCATGCATATTTTCTACAGCAAAACACATATATTTGAGTATTCCTTTTGGTGGAAATGTTAAATAAATGTATTGAAATGAGTTGGATCAAGAGCATACCTTATTTAGGGGCATTTTCCCATAATTCCCAGTAATGAGAATATTTTTTTGGCATTGGTTGTATTATCAAATTGGCATTTCATGCAATAATACAAAGGGGTTCTACATTATGTTAAATCTGACTGGCCATCAGAAAAAACAACCCTCTGATGCTTTCATTGCTTGGAAATAATTACCACTATTCCAGAACGGCCCAAACACATTGTAGATTATCTGAGATTTGAGCTCTTTGCAACTATTTCATGAAATTGCAAAAGATTAGATTAACATATGTCAGTACAGTTCTGTATTTGTGAAAAATTGTCATTTTATGATGAGCACCAAAGAGAGCCAACCTGATTCCTGAGAAACTTGATTACCTTTGAAAGAGTGACTTCTTTTATCTATGTGAATTCTTCCTGACCTGGGCACTACTTCCTTAAAATCAAGTCCAGTTGCTTTCCCTATTCCTGAAGGGGAATCTACTGTTCCTGAGAAAAGAGGCTTTTGTTCATCATCAACAGAGGAGATGAAAGATGAAGATCTGCTTTTTTTCTCTTCGATTTGTTTCTTGGCGCTCTGATAATTTGTTATGGTATCTCCAGAGTCTTCAGCATCATTTGTGCTGTTTTCTTTGCCAAAATCTATCAAGGAAAGTTATTTTAGAGAAGATAATTAAATGTGACATTCTATGCATATGATACCGCTTATACACAAACTACCTTTTCAATAGTGATGTTCTTTGAATTACTTAAACAGAATATTCTGTAAAACCACCAGGAAAATTATTCTTCCTCTTTTTTCCTGTTGAAAGTGCAGCTACTTAGGGAGATTTTCCCCTCAATTCAAGGAATAAAGGACTATTAGATTGTCCTAATAAAATACATGATTTATTTTAAAATGAAAAGATAATCCGTGATAGTAGTAATATTTATATTTCAGGAAAAAAAATAGCTATAGGATAACTTGCAGCTTTATACCTGCTCAACAGTCATTTGTAGTGTTCAAATCTGGTGCATTATTTCTTTAAGGAAATAAAAAAGGGAGTGGAAATTTGTCCCAGTTCTGAAATATCACCACTATGCAGCTTGTTGTTTGTTTTTAACTTTCACACCCTGGCATCTGTGGCCGCCCTTCACATGTTGCAAAGGTCAGAGCTGGAAGCTTCCCTGTGCTGAAGGCTGGAAAGCTGGCTTCCCACTGTGGTTCAGTGGAGTGGCCTTGACATTCCAGGTAGCTTGTTTGTGTAGCATATTGCAAAGAATATAAAGCTAAATACAGTCATTAAAGGAGGTTTACTTAATTATATTAAAGCCAGTAGTGCATATTGCCTGCTTTACACAGAAATGTCAGGATAATTTCAGCCCTTAAGGTTGTGTTAGAACATATTTCAGCAAGAAAAACTCAAAGAGACAAATCCCAGAAGTTGTTTCCATTAGTCTCCTGGGGAGACAGTATAATTCTCCATCTGGTTACTGCTAATAACTAACCAACATACTCCAGAAGGTCTGTCATTGTCTAGAGACGTGGTTGAGACAGTGTCCCCATCTACTCTGCCTGGTTGTGCTTCTTCGTGATTTACAGAAGGCCAAGCAAACTGATTTAAGGCCACTCCAGAGAAACGTCCAACTGTTTTATTTTGTTTTGAATTCCCATAAGGCATAGAAATTAAACAAAGGTATTTTTTTCATCATTTAAAAAATCATAATTTAAAGTATGAGAAGCCAGAAAACAATCCCATGTAAAAATGTTAAAAACCAACCTCCTGTAAAATTGTTGTTAAGGAGTTAATGTTAATTAAAGTTAAATGTAGCAAAAGCGATGGCTCAATTTATTTTCCTTAAGAGTTCACACTTGCTCAGTGATTTCATCTTTGCTGAGAAGACCATGGGCCCTTCCAATCTCAAGTGCTGTGGACATTCTTGATTACTTTGTCACTTGAGTTTCTCTCCTCGACCCCTTTCTTCTCCAGTGTCTCTGACACAGCCCTCCTCAAGCCTCTAAACGTCATTCTTATCATTTCTTCCTGTTTTATTTTTAACTTCTCCCTTCCTGAAAATTTGGTCAACATTTCTCACTTTACGAACATATCATTTCATTCCTCAAACAATAATAGTTTCCAATTTTATGCTGGTAAATCTTTTTTTTTTTAGAGAAAAGCTTCACTTTTCTAAATTATCTTAAAAAAAATATTTTTTAATCGATTTTAGAGATAGAGAGGAAGGGAGAGGGAGAGAGAGATAGAAACATCAATGAGAAAGAATATTGATTGGCCGCCTCCTGCATGCCCCTCACTGGGGATTGGGCCCACAACCGGGAATCAAACCCGTGACCTCCTGGTGCGTGGATCGATGCTCAACCAGTGAGCCACACTGGCCAAGCCTAATTTATCTTCATACCTGCTCGGTGAATTGCATCAGTTTTCTGCTGCTGAGTGAACCTTTGTGCAGTTTGGCCATCAGGGGGTTTGAATTAGCTTTTCTTTTAAACATGCTCATAGTATCTTTTCTAGCAGAATCAAATGTCAACTGATTTAACCATTAATTCATTTGGCTCTAATCTAAGTATAGAAATGCTAACATAAATATCTGTATTGAATGTAGGCTAAAAATTATTAAAGCACCGTGTCTCTTTGGCTTGAGAGGTCTTGGAAGTTCTCTGTAGATTTTAACATCTTTACACGTTACCAGTAAAATGTTCTGTCCCAACTACTTCATGAACCTCAGACTTTGTTTACCAACTTATGGTCTAATTTTGGATGCTTTGGGACAAATTTATCTTTTAACATATATTGTTAAACTGAATTATAATTTGCTGATTTCCACTCAGGACAACTATTCGCAAAATGTGGTGAATGAGGGATTATTATTTAGGTCTATAGTTAAATGGAGGAAATTACTTCGTGTACTTAGTATCTAAATCCTCCAGCAAAAATTCCATGTGAAAGCAAGATCATGAAAGAAGAAGAGAACGTTTGATATCTTTGAATTGTTCCACTATGCACAGAGAATTACTCCACTTTTATGTCCATGTTCATTGCCCCCTGACAGCCAGTTGCTTCCTGGAACCCAGGCCGTCTGGACGGTTTCCCTGATGCAGCCTGACTGCAACATTTTTCTCTTTCCTGCTAAATAAATCACACCTTCACATTCTATCATTTAAAGTGAAAGTGGAAATGACAATCTACTTGTGGATTAAAAATAGGAACAGTTCAGGCTTAGACTGGAGGTTGGTTGATGGAATACATGAAATTGGGCTGAAAAGTATTCTAATTAGCTTCCTGATACCTCTAGATTTTGATGGCTGTTTCATTTCTGCCTTTTCCTAGTGAAAGTGGATTATTTGATGGAGGTTAAATAGTATTTGGTACTATTTTTTTCTTAATGTTATTTTTATTCTATGTAGAAATATTATTGCTAGAAGTGAAATTGTATGATCATTTGTTACCATTACCTTACAAAGAAATATTTTTGCCTGTTCAGTTAAGTTTTGAATTTGATATCTGATTTAGATGACTGAAAATTATTTTATTTTTTTTAATCCTTTGTTTCTGCAGGCTGACAGTTCATCTCCCTCCTTTTTCTCATAAGACACAATTCTAAAGCATTTTGTGATTTGTTTTGTGCGTGTCTCTCTGGGTTTAGGATGAATTGAAGAGCACAGAATGAGGGTGTCCGATGGAGTGGTTGAGTCATCTATCTTAAGAATGATTATGCAAAATTCTTCCATTTCAAACAATCTCAGAACAAACACCTATGCTCCCTCCATCTTTCATGGAGTCTTTCAGATTAATTACCATTTTTATTTGTTAGACCCAACAATAGACTTAACTTTTGGTCCAAGAGAGACATTTAATGTGTTCTCTCAGCATCTGAATTTTAGATTTCCTACAGGTAACAATTTTGAAATAAGCTGAGCACTTTCCAGCCAAATACATTTAAAAAATTTATTTCATTGGAAAATTAAAATCTAAAATATATTGCTTCATTTGATTTCAAGTACTTTATTTCCTCTCTAGTTTCAAAGAATGTTGAAAGAAGACTAATGTCATTTTTGTATGCAAATACAAGATAAAAATTTTGACTATCTTAAAAATTAAAATAAAGATACATTTATATGTTGCTGAAATAGATAACAAAAGCTAATCACTATTTGTTATTAGAGAAGATATTCCAAAGAGATGCCAAAGTATAATACCAATATATTTGAAGGCTTAATTTAATAAAATTATAGTTAGACTATGCTTGTTCTCTAAAAATAAGTTTAACAATGTGTATATGTATGTGTGTGTGTGTGTGTGTGTGTGTGTATATATCCTTACTTCAATAACTTTCCTAGAAGTTATTTTATTTTGGAGAAACACTTTCAAAGCTTACTGACTTTTGGATGACCATGAGAAATCACTAAACCACTATTACAAAGAGATAGAGTTCATTGCTATCCTTTGAAATGCAAAGTGTGATGAGTTCAAGACACTTCCACTCCCATTTTTTTGGAACAACACAAGTTTTCAGTTGAATGATATAGAAGTGCCTGCCCATTGCAATGAACATTATATGGGTAGAGAAATAAGAACATCACAGCCTTTCCCCCCCACTCTTATGATGTACGTATACTATGTCTAAAAATGGGTTCCTGTTCTCAAGGGAAAATGTGGCACTATCTAAGTCCAGTGGAAAGAGGATTCTGAACATTTTTTTCACTTTTATTTTCACCCCCTTGGTAGGCACAGGCACATCATTTACAGTATATGAACTATTGCCCTGTGTTTTGGACCTGTTACATTGCTGTTCTCATTGTCCTATTCTCTGCCAAAAGATTATTGACTCCCTAAATCAATCATTAGTAACTATTTTGATACTGAATTTTCCATCCCTGGAAAGAGTTGAGGAGACTATTTAAAATATTTGGTCATAAAAGTGCTATTGGTAAAAAATATATACGTGTGTGTGTGCGTGTGAGTGTATTCGTATCTCATGTACCATTATACAAGGTGGAGCAAAGTAGGTTTACAGCTGTGAGTACACAAAATACAGTTTATGCTTATATTATTATTTATTACTTATTGTATTATTTTTTCTCTGAGCAACTAATAAACTTACCTTTGTCCCACTCTGTACATTCTACTGAATTAATATATTATTTATAAATAACATAAAATTTTCAGAAAAATATTTCTGCAACCTAATGGATCATATTGGCATTCTCTGAAGTATGCACAGTCTGATCTTACTTAGAAGTCTCCTTAGAGACTATTTTCACATGTTCCTACTGGATATATACCTCATTTACTTTTATTCAGCTCAACCATGTTATTAATGCTTGTGGCCACTCAACGGGTCATTGAAGATTTATATTTATTCTTTATTTTCTGTGAAAATAACATTTTACTTCTATCTCAAGAACTATAGCACCTTCTCGTACAATGACCCTAGTCAAATTAAGAAGGTTCTGGGTACCTCCATGCCAGAATTTTAGGAAGGAAAGAGAACTACTAGAAGACTACTTTAAAAAAAAAAAAAAAAGGTGTCCACCCTGGGAAGGTGGCTCTGTTAGTTGCAGTACTGTCCTGTACACCTAATGGTTGCAGGTTCGATTCCCATTCTCAGTTGGGGCACAAACTGGGGAGGGGGTGGCAAGTGATCAATCTCTCTCTCTTCTCTCTCTCTCTCACCTCCCCTCTTCTCTATCTCTAAAGTCAATAAACATATCCTCAGATGAGGATAAAGAAAAGAAAAAAATACAAGGTGTCCTCAAATTCCAAACTGAACTGACAGCTCTTTTCTGTCAGAAAATGAGTTTATTTTTCCAGAAGAAATGTAAAGGTCTGAAGACAAATCACTTTCATCAACAAAAGCATTTTAGGAGAGAAGTGATCCAAGATGTTAAGCTTCCATTTGTTCAAGCCAACTTTCCAGAGATTCTATTTATATCTATTCTTTTAAAAAATATATATTTTGAGTTTAAGTTCCTTAGCACCCTGAGGTAGGCAAGGTTGGAAGGGGGTGGGGAGAGATGAGGATTGAGCCTGAAAGAGTTCTAGTGCCTTGTTGAGTAGGTAGCCTGTGAGTGCAAAGCAAGATTCAACCTCTGTCTCCAATGCATGTGTTCTTAACTCTGGGTCTTGAGACCTCTGCTGATCAATTCATAGCCAGTGCTCTTGGATATCCGCCTTCAAGGTATTGTTTCTTGTGGGCAATAAACTAACTCTAAAATAATCAATGCTTTTCATGGGCAGCTTTCAATTAATGTAGCCCCCATATCATTTAGTATTGATTATCTTCTGAAAGTTCTCTGTTTTGTATACTGACTTATATGTATGTTTTTGTCCTAGATAGTGATTCTACATTAAGAAGTATAGAGTGGGTGGTCACCTTCAGAGCATTAGCTTGGAGTGACAAGGACTAAATTGTTTTCAGCAATTTTGTACACTTGTCTATGGTAGCATGGAGTCTTGAAGACTAGACTAGTCTCTCAGGCTCTAGATAATTGGATTAATATTGTTGGGAACATGGTATTGAGCAGATCATGTTTACTCATAGAAACAAAAGGGAATGTGAAAGAGCTGCAGGGAGGCAGGCAGGTCACTTACCATCTACACTTTATATAAAACGATATCACAGACTGAGCCTCTGGTGAGAGGGAAAATTTTCAGAAACAATAAAATATCTAGTTGCATAAGCACAATATAAATTGTGACGTTCTCAGGAGATAAAAACGTTAGCTAATTCAGCTTGAGAATGAGAAAATGAAACCATTTTAAAAGAGGTTTAATAAATCTTCATCTGTTTGGGGAACATTATCATATGGACGACATTGTCAAGCTCTTCTTTATTTCCTGCAAGATCACAGTAAGAGATGAACTTCAGAGTAAGGAATTTAGATTGAGTCTGTGGAAGAACAACTTGACAGTAAGGTTCTGATTTTAGAAAAAGTCACCAAGAGAATAATGAAGGACATTGCTGAAATAAATTCACCTATTTCTGAGTGCTTTATTGTTCCATAATCAACCAGAGGATTCAACAATTATCTCAATTCAACAAATATTTATCAATTATTCTTTGCTAAAGGAATCTACAGTTTGGTAGAGAAAAAGGACAAATACACCGATAACTACTGTACAGGGTGGATTTTGATAATATAACAAGATGTTAAGTGCCTCAGGAATTTATAAGAGAAAAGAAAACTATATATTTGAGGAAATCAAGAAAGAATTTATGTTGAATATGTCATTAGAGATTAACATTGACAAAAAAATGTAATTTTAGTGGATGAAAAAGTGTGATGAACTTCAGAGTAAGATTGTGATTGTGTGTGTGTGTGTGTGTGTGTGCGTGCGTGTGTGTTTGAGGAGAGGGAGGTAAAGTCCGATTAAGATAATAATATAAGCAAAGACACAGACACAGTTTACATGGATGAGAGGGTAGTTTAGTTCACTTGAAATACAGAGAAAGTTGAAACTAGTAGATGAGCTCCCCTAGTGCGAGAATTTGGAGAGAAGAGGGCCAATAAAAGAACTTGGATTAAAGGCTCTAGTTTTAAAGGCAAAAGGAGGAAGAGAATCAAAAGGAAGATGCCTACATTTTATTTTATTAATTCATTAATTCTTGCAACAAACATCTGTTGAACACTTGCAATGTGGCAAGCACTGAAAGGAGACTAAATATTTACACCTTCATGGGGCTTATGATTTAGAAGTAGACAATATCTATGAACTAACAATGCAAATACACATAGAAGTACAACTGGAATGCTGCAAAGGAGAGGAGCTGATTGTGGAAGACCAGGTTAAGCAGTGCTAGAACGGGTGATATCAGATAAGACTGAAGAGGTAGACATAGAACGCCTTATTAAGAATTTAGGGAATTGTTTAAATAATGTAGAGGGGTTTAAATAAGTGGGTGAAATAAACAAAACTGCATTTAGAAAATAATTCACCAGTTGTCCAGTGTGGAGAATAGATCAGAGAAAGGCAAGGTGAGTTGGGATGCTATCTCAGTATTCCAGGTGACAGATTATGGTATCTTGGCTCGGAGCTGTGGCTAAGAAGATGGAAAGAAGTGAACTAAAAAGGACCTAGTTTAATGACTAAATGGAGATGTATTGGAGGTAGCAATAATAAGACTTGTTGCCAGAGTTGATGGAGAGGTTGAGAGAAGGTTGGAACCTGGTTTGTGCAGCTGATTGAATGGTGGTGTCATGTAGAGACATGGCAACTGATGGAAAGACAGGTTTCCAGGGGGATATCCTGAGTTCAGTTTAGAAAATCTTGAATTTGAGCTGCCTTTGAGATTTCAAGTTGATGGTTTGGTAGGCAGCTGGATATATGAGGTTGAAGCACAGGTAGTCCGGGATTAAGAAGTAAATATGCACATTTCCTACGTGAGAATATAATGAAACTGTAGGCGTAAGCAGGACACCCAGGGAAAGACTAGCATGTTTGTTAGGTCAGCATGAGGCAAGAGTGGAGACATTTTCAGGAAAGCCTTCTCCCATCTGCCCAGGCACAATTAGCTGTACCCTCATTTGGTCCTCACTGAGGTGTGCTTAATCTGGTTACAGCAACTACTATTTATTTTTGAAATAGAGGGTGTGCCATCTCTTCGTAGGGAGGGCAAGGGCTGTTTCACACTATTTGTTTCTCAGAAATGGAGTAGTTCTTTAACAATGTGAAATGAGCCAGGCTGGTGTGGCTCAGTGGTTAAGCATTGACCCATGCACCAGAGGTCGCCGGTTCGATTTCGAGTCAGGGCACATGCCTGGGTTGTGGGCCCAGTACCCAGTGGGGGGCATGCTGGAGGTGGCCAATCGATGTTCCTCTCATTGATATTTCTACCTCTCTCTCCCTCTGCCTTCCTCTCCCTCTAAAAATCAATAAAGAAAAAATATTTTTAATAAACTTTCTAAAAAAGAATAATGAAGTAAAAATAAAAATGTGAAATATTGCCTGGCCAGTGTGGCTCAGAGGATTGAGTGTCATCTCATGGACTGAGAGGTTCTGATTCGATTCCCAGTCAGGGCACATGCCTGGGTTGTGGGCCCAACCCCCAGTGGGGGGTGTGCAGAAGGCAGCTGATTGATGTATCTCTCGCACATTGATGTTTCTATCTCTCTCTCCCTCAATCTCTAAAAAATAAAAATCAATTAAAAATATTTTAAAAGTGTGAAATGTTAAAAAAAACAAACAAACATATTTAGCCCTGGCCAGTTTGGCTCAGTGTTTAGAGCATTGGCCCCCGGACCAGAGAAGCCCAGGTTCAGTTCCCACTGAAGGTATGTACCTTGGTTGCAGTTTGTCCCTGGCACTGGTTGGGGTCGCTTGGGTGGCAACCAGTCGATGTGTCTCTCTCACATCAATATTTCTCTCTCTCCCTTCCTTCCTCTCTCACTCCTAGTCTCTCCGTAGATAAATGCAAAACTATCCTCCGGTGAGAACAAAAAAAATTTTTTTTTAAATGTGAAATGTTAAACATAATGTTTCTGGTATATATGAGTAAAACATAAAGAATAGTTAAAAGGACAGAAAATCCTAGAGAAGACAAGGAGTGGCAAGTGCCTCAGAGAATACCACCTCATGCGTGTCATGCATGCTTGACAATGAGCACTCGCCTGCAAGGACAGTTATCCTCCACAACACACTGTTCAGAACTCTGAGGCACAGTTATTCAACTGTTTTAATTGGCCTCCTTTCATTTTAAACCAACCTACTCTGTGATGTCCTTGTAGATAAAGATGGCTTTGTCGAATGACATCATGAAATTTGTCCATAAGAAACCACATCATTAACTACAGAAAAAAAGCAAAGGATTTACCTTCCTAAAATCTGAATAATGTTTCCCCTTGAAATCAAAAGTATAATGAGCAATTAAGTAAGAATAGCTAATAACCACAGGCTCTAGTTTTAAACTTTATAAACAGAATGAATTACCTGTCTCTCCTTCACTATCAAATGACAATTTCCTTCTTCGTAGTTTACAGTTGTCTCCTTCAGAGTCATTCATAGACTGTGATCGTAGTAAGAGATCAGCCTTTGTGAATAGAACATGAAGATAAAATGGAAGATTATTCAATTTGAACATAATGTATTATCAGTAAACTCTTTATTATTCCATATGATTTCAACCACTGTGAGACTTAAATATTAGATTGTAGGCAAACAGCTACGATAATTTGCTTAATGATTGTCTATAAATTATAAAATAGATTGATAGAATAATTCTAATCATTTCACCATCAGATGGGAAGTCACAGTTTTAGAAGTAATTTATCAGAAATGTTTGGGGATGATGTTGACAACATTTAGAGACAACATGTTCCTTCATGTGGAATGTACTTTATGTAACGTGGTAAAGGTAAAGTAAAAAAATAATAATTTTTTGCCCTGGCCGGTTTGGCTCAGCGGTTAGAGTGTCGGCCTGCGGTCCTGAGAGACCCGGGTTCGGTTCCCGCTAAGGGCATGTACCTCGGTTGCAGTTTGTCCCCGGCCCTGGTCGGTTGTGCGGGTGGCAGCCACTCGATGTGTTCCTTTCACATCGATGTTTCTCTCTCTCTCTCTCTCTCTGTTCCTCTCTCTCCCTCCCACTCTACCTGAACAAAAAATGGAAAAATGTCCTCCGGAGAGGATAAAAGAAAATAATAATAATAATAATAATAATAATAATTTTTTAAAACTTTGCAGAATGTGTATTATTTTAGCAGGAAAAAGTAAACTACTTATAATGAGCTATGATGCTTAAATTACATGGTAACTATTGGAAGGTGGTACATTTACACAATGGAACACTAATTGGAAGTAAGAAAGAAATCTTACCCTCTGCAACAGCATGGATGGACTTGAAGAGTATTGTGCTAAGTGAAATAAGGTAGTCAGAGAAAGACATGTACCATATGATTTCACTTATATGTGGAATTTAATGAACAAAATAAACTAAAAAACAAAATAGAAACAGACTCATAGATAGAACAGACTGATAGCTCTCAGGGGGGCTGGGTGAAAAAGGTGAACGGATTAAGCAACAAAACAAAAACCCAAACTCATAGACACACAAAATAGTATAGTGATTACCAGAAGGGAAGGGGTTGGGGAGGTAAAGGGGGGATAAATAGTGATGGAAGGATACTTGATTTGGGGTGGTGAACACACATTATAATATACAAATGATGTAGAATTGTACATCTGAAACCTACACAATTTTATTAACCAAGGTCACCACAACAAATTCAATTAAAAACACACACACATGAAAAATAAAATAAATTTCACAACAATAAATATAAGGTTGAATTAACAAACCCTATGCTTTGAACCCGTTATTTTCTTCCCCATTTCCTCATCCCCCACCCTTCTGGTTCACTCTGTAAAATATCAGTCTTGTAAATAAAAATGGAAGCTCCCAAATAAAACAAATAAAAACTCTAGTTTAATTTATTTAGTTGCTTTCTAAACTTTTTATGTAAAGAAGTTATCTGTGGTAGATGTTTGTTGTTCTCAAGGCAAAATCAGAATAAGTTTAGTAACATTAAACTGAGATTTGATATAGTACTGAAGTAAAACCATTATAAAAAACACATGCTACTGATCATTTAAACCTCTTATCACCTAAATATTTTTCAACTTTTCAGTATTTTGAAAAGAACTAGCTGAGCTGAGCTGATGCTTCACATACTTTAGTGACCTTAAAAGTCAAACTAAAAAGTTTTTGCACAGTGCCTGGGTAGTGTGGCTCAGTATATGAAAAGATGCTTGATGTCATTAATTGTCAGAGAAATGCAAATTAAAATCACAAAATATCACTTTACATTTTCAGAATGGCTCTCATCAATAAATCAACAAACAGCCAATGTTAATGAGGATGTGAAGAAAATGGAACCCTCCTGCACTGCTGGTGGGATTGCAAATTGGTGTAGCCACTATAGAAAGCAGAGGTTCCTCAAAAGACTAAAAATAGAAGTACCTATGATCCAGCAATTACACTTTTGGATATATGTTAGAATAAATCCCAAACACTAATTCGAAAATATATATGCACCCCTATGTTCACTGCAGCATCATTGACAATGGCCAAGATATGGAAGCAACCCAAGAGCTCATCAATGGACAAATGGATAAAGTGGTGGTGCATATATACAATGGAATACTACCTGGCCGTAAAAAGAATGACATCTTACTATTTGTGACAGCATGGATAGACTTAGAGGGTATTATGCTAAGTGAAATTAATCAGTATATGAAAGACAAATACCACATGCTTTCACTTATATGCGGAATCTAAAGAACAAAATTTAAAAAAAAAAAAACAGAAACAGACTCATAGATACAAAGAACAAACTGAGGGTTGCTAGAAGGGAGGAGAATTGGGTACTCCAGTGAAAAGGTGAAGGGACTAAGAAGTATAAAATAGTCACAGGGATATACAGTACAGCACAGGGGACATGGTCAATTATACTGTAATAATTATGTATGGTGCCAAATTGGTACTAGAATTATCGGGGATCACTTTGTAAACTGTGTTATTGTCTAATTATTGTGCTGTATCTCTGAAACTAATATAAAATAATACTGAATGTCAACTGTAATTAAAAATGAAAATTTAAGTTTATCTGCATAGCTAAGTTTCTCACAGTCCCTGGGAAAAACTGCAATTCCAGGAAGAATTAAATCTACTACCTTCTACCTAACTATTGACTTGAGGCTCTTTATTTCCAGAGAGTGTACCATTAGCATTAAAATACATTGGCAAGTTTCAAAAGCCCAACATTTGATTTCTGACCAAAAATGTATTTGGAATTGAAGTTGGGTTTATAAGATTTGGGGTGGAAAAAGATAGAAGAACAACCTAGTAATAAATTGTGGGCTGCAACATAAGTTATATATTCTTAAAATAGTGGTAGATCATATTTTCACAGTGGAGGAGAGAGAGCTATAAGGGCTACATCCTTAAAACTTATCCTTGGTTAAATTATATGTAGAATCACTTCAAATATTTTTATTAGACGGCATGATATGTATTCTCAGCACTAATTTTGATTCAGGTAGAAGCCTGATTAATTTTTATTTCTGTGATTTGGAAATTGTGTTAAATATGTATCTAAACTTGAGTAAGTTTAATTTTTTCATTATTACTAAAAAGACACTGCTAACCAATACCTGGTGTATATAATAGCTGAGAGAATATTTTATAACCTCTGTATAAAATAAACGTGTGTAGGGGATTTTCAATACTCCAGAATCACCCATTTCTTACAAGTAGTTGGCACACCCAATATAAACCAAGACTATTTTAAATCAAATACATCACCTAAGGGTTCCTAAAAGGTCAAATTTAATTAGTCTACTTAAAGTTATTTAATATATTTGCAAGTAATGACTGAATTCATTCCCTATAGTCTAGAAATTCCAATATTAAGTTAGCTTTCTCTTGCAAATATTCAGAATTGGTAAAGTTTTGTTACAATATTTTTCTTGACCCTTCAGCGGTATTTGGGCAATCCAAGAATAAAACAAAATGTCAAAAGTACAAGAAATACACAAACAGTTCATGTATACCTTTGCACTCTCATGCCTTAGGTTGAATGTCAACTCTAGGTTTGTGAGAAAGTGATCAGAAAATTCGGGATACATATCCAAAACCTCTAGCAAGTCTTCTCTCTGGATCTTATGCAAATCACAGTATGTGAGGGCTCTTACATCTGCATTAGACTTTCCAGGTTTGGCATAGAGATGAACCATTTCTCCAAATATATCATTTTTTCCTTAAAGATAGAAAAGAGAAAAGAAAAGGAATTAAGGGAATCTGAATTTAATGTTTTTTTTTTTTGTTTTTTTTTTCTAAATGTAGAAGGGAACCACTGACTAATCTCTGAACTAAAAATTTCAAATGTAAAATCCATGGCCAACACACTCTTGGGTAGCAAAAGACCTCATACTAACTATCTCAGTCATGTTTGTTTGCTGAGAGGAATTTGCCTTTTAGTGCACTGGTCCTAGTATACACCCTATTATTTTCTTGTTTTGATTCTTTGGCAAAACAACTAAAATGCAGCAAATATGGCCTTAGTCCGCTACGCCCCATGTAAGGTATTGTCTGATTTTGTCAATCCGGAAATATGAGAAAGGCTGTGAGAGTCAGACCATGAACTTTCTATCTCAGGGTGGTCTCTGCAAGAGATGCTAAGCATGGGGTCATGCTGGACCACTTTCAACACTTGGAGGACTAGGGGTACAATTCAAACACACCCTGTTTCCTTTGGTAACCACTTTTGGATTTGCCTTTAATGAATTTGTCCACTTGTTGAATAAATCTAGCTATATTTTCTCAATGTATATAGTCATGGTTTTTTTTACCACATGGCCTTTACTCTAAAAGTGTGTCCTTGCCTCCTTGCCAAAACTGGAGTCATTTCAGCGTCTGGCTTCTGCTGGGTCTTCCCTGTCCTCTCTGCCTGGCCACATGCCACTTGCTTTTCCAGGCCTTGTTGAAGGCATGGATGACAATGATGGCGGCAGTAGCAAGGGCTCATTGAGGACTAAGTAGGTGCCAGGCACTGTGTCAGATGCTTAGATGCATTATTTCATTTAATACCTCAATAATCTCATAAATAAATGACTAACTATTATCCAAATGTTATGCATATGGAAAGAGGATTGAAGAATTAAACTGATTAGGTTAAGGTGACCTACTTCATTGGCGGAGGGAGGGAGAGAGTAACCATGATTAAATCCCATACATTCTGATTCTAGTCAAAATCTTTATATACCTCTTATGTTTAATTTCTCCCCAATATTTTCCCTGAATATCATGGCCACTTTGGTTTTTCTGTCTCTGAATGTCAAGAGACTTAAAAATTGTACTTGTGAAGTATGTACTAAATAACTATTGATAGATTATTGATTATATCACTTTTAAAAAATCCTCAATGGCAGTACTTTCCTACATATATCCTGAAGCTTCTTTTCATATTTAGAAAAAAAACTCCCTGGATCTGTTATTTTTATTTGTGTTGTGTTAAATTCATATATACCCGACCATGGAAACTGTCAAAAACTTTGAAACAATAAAGTTCCAACTAGTCAAAAAAAAAAAAAAAATACTGTAATGTTCTTATCTAAAATGTGCATTTAAGGGGGCAGAAATCAGATATCATATCTTTATAATGAAAGTTGATATTAGAGCAAACACATTAACTTTAATTTAAATAAATGCTTAGCTTTTTAAAAATAGAATTAATAATCATAATTTGTGAGGGTTTCAGGTGTAGATTTGGAGACAGAAAAAGAGAATCTCTTCAAATTCTTTATAGTTTTGATACCTTAGTAGAGGTACTGGCGAAGAAAATCCCAGAACTAAATTCAGCATGGGCTTTGCATTTAATTAGTTACGGGACTGTAAATGAGCAAAGAGTAAGCCAGTCAGCATGTATACCTTAACTAAGTTCACCCTGATGAAATTTACTTTTGAAGAGACAGATTGGACAGATGACTCTCTTTTGCATCCAAACCAGTTTATTACTAATTATAATCTTCTCACTGCAAGTTCCTAGCTCTATATTACCTAGGTAATGACTCATATCGTTCCGTCTGATGGCACACAGCAGGTAAAAGTACATGGCAAATGGGTGAAATTTGTCAAAATATAAACCCAGCTCAAGACAGGGCATTGAAACACTCTAGCCGGTATGTTTACAATATGTACATTTTATTTAAGGTGTTAAGGGATCAAACACGAATCCCAAATCCTCTAATATGAAAAGGAAAATACTGACTACTTTCATATATTGGGCCTCAGATGCTTCAGTAGCTGCCAAGGACAGAAAAGTATTGTAGAACCATTTACACATCAGAGAAAATGCAAGAGTCAGGAAAACGCATTTTTTTTCTGAGAGATTTATTTGATTTGAATTGAATTGAAATAAAGCTTTAAAATTACCCATCAGTCTTAAACTGTACTCATAAATAAATAGATCAGTCCTTTTTCCCCATCATTTTAAACTATGCCTTGTACCAGCTTGTAACTGAATTTGTCATCATCCAGGCCTAAAACACTCACCCAGAATAGCTACTACAATGTCATCTTTGAGGATTTCAATGGAGCCTCTGGATAAGAAATAAAGTGCAGTGAGGACATCCCCACAGTGAACCAGAGTGTCTCCTGGAGGTGCATGGGTGGTCTTGAACTTCATTGCCAAAGCTCGAAGGCAACCTTTACTTGCCCCCCGAAAGGCTTTGCAGTTTTGTAGCAAAGTCTGGTTGAGATGTAGACAAATATCAGCTTGTAAACATTCTGGGAAACCCTTGAGGACCTGAAGAGAAAAAGTAAAGAGTTTCATACTCCAGCGCACAGGGTACCCTCACTTGAAATAAAGTCTATTTCTTGTTCACAGAACCGCAGGTGTGGTCATCGGCACACAGGACTTCTTACAATACCTCTACCTTGCCTACCTTAATGAACAATTGCTTTTCTAAACATGTTAAAAATTTAACTCAAATACTTGATCTCCAAATTAACTGCAGGCATTCAGATTCAACACAAATGCTGTCTCATTAAAATGTAATGCCTACAATGTTTCACACTGCTACTCATTCTTGCATTCTGTTATTTAACATCATACTGTGCGTAGATATAGTACAATGTGACAATTAATAAGACATAATTAATAAAAGGCAGTACAATTAAAAAGACAACTTTTTGAAGGAATCTCACGTCAATTTGGATTGCTATCTCTGGTATATGAGTCTTAGTTATAATTGGTAAAAATAATCATCCTGAATAGCCATTGTATTTATAAAGGTCATATACCAGAGGGTGCTCTTAGTTAACAGCACTCAGCATTTTTTTTTTGTTTCATGTGCACATTATTAGTACTAAATATTGCGATAAACACTGAAAATAGAGAAAGAGAAGGAGAACAGCAAACATACTTTGAAAATGTGCTTTAGTTTTTAGAACTGGAAATTGTGCCAGAATTTACAATGCATACATAAAGCTTCTAACAGTGCTACTGTTTTGACAGCCTATTCAGTGATTAATTTAAAACTTGTAGAAAAGATTCAATAATAGCTTGTAACAAGTGCTACTCAATTTAAACTGAATATAATTTCATGTTATTCTATAGAATTAATTCCCAGTATTCAGTGGAAAAAGACACTCAACTCTTGCTTCTCTGTATGTGTCTAGCTATTGGGGGTGTCATATATAGATTTTAATTCTCATGTTGACGTTCAGTAAAAATACATTCATTTAAATATGTTTTGTGGTAAGAGGGAAGAGGTATTATACAGTGACCAATAATGCAATTTTAGGATTTCCTACCTTTTTGGTTTTACCTTGCTATTGTTGTCCAATATAGTGATTATTTTTAAAATTATTTATTTATATAGATAGCTCAAATATATGTGCCCCAAGGAGAAACTTCAAATTAGATTATAGCTGAGTTAACTTACAATTACTGTTACTTTAAATATTAAAGCAGCCACAGGGATGCTGGTTCGGTAGGGCCACTGTGGGATGCAGCTGGTCAGACTGATGGTGATTAGGGTGCAAAAGGATCAATGAGAGATCTGAAACACAACCACCACTGTTTCTGATCTGGTCTTTTTCATTGGAGAGTCAACCACAGAAATGGGTTAAGGGTGTTTTAGAAGAGAACCCACAGAATATGAGTTCTGGTCATGGATTTGCCACAGGTTGAAGCTTGTGCAAGTCACTTCATCCATGCGTGTTTCTTTGCCAGAGAATGAAAGTCTTTACAATACTGAAATTTGTCATAAGTTATCAATAGCCTGCCAATTGTCAGACACTGCTCACCCAGCTCTGCACGGCTGGAGGAACTCAGACTTTGTATGCTGAAGTTTCTGTATTATGTGGCTCAGACCCAAAAGAAATGAGCCTTCCTCTATCTGAGCTCCTGAGGACTCATCTGAAACCACCTCCCTTAACTGTAGCTTTCAGACTTTGCATGACTGGACTCCTGACATATTTTCTACTTGGACTGAAGACCTGTTCAAGATGTAACCTGCCTAGTCTTTGCCCATTTCTACCTTTGGGGGATTGGGGCTCTTTTCCCAGTGTTTTCTGGAAACCTACTACCCAGCTACTCTCATGAAACCAACCCTCTAGGTCGCTCATCCCCTCTACCTGTTGATACTATTACACTGGATTCCTTGGCAAGTGATGTTAGACTGGAGTTAAACTAGGTTTGGACCCTGATTTCCAAAATGGGCCACCTTATTTGGAAGTGCTGTAGTAGGAAAAAACCTAGCTCACTGGCCTCTCTGCATATGATTTACTTTCCTTCCCTGAAGCCCATGGCTGCGGTCTCAGCATAACTCTCAGATGTCACTAGATGGTTAAAAATGTAAAGAGAAGTACATCAAGTAACAAATTAGACATGCCTATTTTTCCCTTAAAATTTGGCTATAATAAAGTACAAAGAGACATTTTATATTTCACATAAATAGGGGAGATCTTGCTACCATTATAATAGTTGGAATGAGAATGCTGAGCTTATTGCTGTTATTTCTGGCATTTTCTTGAAATTCCTCAGTGATGCTTTCTGAGTTGGAAGATACAGATGAGACAGAGGTAGGGGAAATTTATTTCTCTGCGTGTTTTATGAGTTATGGAATCAAATAGGCATGAGAGGAAGTCCTAGTTTCATCACTTACTATTTGTGACTTTGGTCAAATCAATTTTCTTTTCTTGTGATTCAGTTTTTTTCTACTGTAAAATTAGTAACATCTACTCGACAGGGTTATGGTCACAATTAAATGCAATAATGTATGTGAAGCATCCCATGCATTGTAAATGTTGAATAGACGTTTCGCTTCTGACCCTTCCTTCTGCCTTTCCTTCCTACCTTCATTCCTTTCTTTTTGTCATAAATATTTATTGTTATTGAAGAACTGATATGTTCTCTTTAGCTCAAAATTGAGAGATATGACACCCATTGTGCTATTCTCTTTGGTCTCTGGTGAATAAGAAATGCCCCACTAAGTTTTGTGCTCCATCCCCTCAACAGAGTTTAGGAATTCCTTTCCTCTAGTCTCTTTAACTTTTATTCCCTGTTTCTGATTGTGGTAAATATTTTGGCTAACTTGAACTTAAGTGTTCACTGTGAGTCATCTTACATCCTTTTTAGAAGTAGGCAGTTACTAAAATCAATTCACAAATATGTTCTTGGAATTTTGACATTCTTAGAATCACTCACAAATACTTAAAGGGAACTTGGGAAAATTTTTAAACATCATTCTCTTCTCAAGTGTTCGTGTTAAATGTTGCTGTCTCCCAACTGTCATTCCATTAGAAGTGATACCCATTGGAAAGAAGGACCTCAAGTCGGAGATACCATTGAAGTCCATGGAGAAACCCTTGCACAGGGGGAAGATTCATAGATCTTGGCATGACAGACTTGTCTAGATTAAGTAGTTTCACCTGTGCTATTAGCCCTTACCTGATTTTCTTAAGCCATTTACATAAATCACTCAAGTAAAACTCAATAGAGGTTAGTATTCTGCAATTAAATCTCTTACTAACCCAGAACTTTGGATGTCCCAAATAAGTTAGCAGCTTTGGAATCTGGGTTATGCCTAAGTTAAGGTACTTTAAGAAGGAGAGTTAAGCCCTGGCCGGTTTGGCTCAGCAGTTAGAGCGTCGGCCTGCGGTCCGGAGAGACCCGGGTTCGGTTCCCGCTAAGGGCATGTACCTCGGTTGCAGTTTGTCCCCGGCCCTGGTCGGTTGTGCGGGTGGCAGCCACTCGATGTGTCCCTTTCACATCGATATTTCTCTCTCTCTCTCTGTTCCTCTCTCTCCCTCCCACTCTCCCTGAACAAAAAATGGAAAAATGTCCTCGGGTGAGGATAAAAAAAAAAAAAAAAAAAAAAAAAAAAAAAAGAAGGAGAGTTAAAAGAGAGGGAGCTGTAGGGAATAGAACATTGAAACAAAGAGTGGGAAGAAAAGGGAAGGGTTAAGTAGATATTTATCTAAGGTACTCTGTTCCATTGGTCCCAACTGTGTGGCCTTTCTTCCTTCCTACACATTGTACTTTTTTTGGTGAGGTTTAGTTCCTCTGTCAAATTACCTGACTTGGAACTTTGTCAAATAGCACTCAAATATTGGCCTGTTACCACATCAAGCAGATCTGACTGCAAAGAGTAGCTATGTCAAGTACAAAGCAGGACACACACAAGCTACAATAGGGCACAAGTGACTGTTATAATCATCTCCACTGCTGTCTATACAACCTTCTTCTCTGTCATGTTCTGAAACTCTGAGGGTACAAAACACCTTTTACTGTGCATCTACAGCCATTGTTTCATTGACTGAGTCTGAGTCCAAAGACCATGGAGCTTCACCCAGAATCAGTTTCATGGCCTACACTTGGAAAAGTAGTCCTCATTCTTTTAGCAAATAGTTATTATCTATTACGTATCAGACACTATGCTAGGCATGGGAAAACAGCAATGAATAAAACATGCTCTGAAATTATACCTGCCTTCATGTTTTTCTCTAAATGCCTAAATGAAAATAAAAAAATAAATTGTAGCTTTAACCAGAAGTTCCCACACTTGGATTTTCATGCCAAATTTGGATATTTGCAATGCCTCTTTATAATACTAATGGTTGTTTAAATGTATCCTCGAGGTAATAGTTAATTTAAGGTGAGTGAAAAGCTCCACTTTCACTTTCCTAATATTGACTATTATGTGGGCAGATTTTTAAAACTCCCTGAAGTTTCAGATATTTTTTTCAAGGCTGATAAAAATCCCATGTCTTTATTATGATATAAGTCACTTGAATATTTTATAAATGCAAGATTAATTTCTCTCTACTTGAATTTATGTAGATAAAACGCTTTAAGACTCTCAAATTATGTAAGATGAATAAGACATTTGTTCATTTAAGTGAGTATGAAATGCTTTCTGTGATGTTAAATCAACTCCATAGCTTAGGACCCAAAGATTAAGATCATTCAATGAAGAATTATTCAACAACTACAAAACAAGATAATATTATTAAATCAAAGTAAAACGCTTTGCAGAAATCATAGAGAGAAAAAACAGAAATAAATAACTATTCTATAGTAAGCATGTAGCAAATACCATCAAACATTAATTCAGAAGTATTTAACTTTATGCTAAACTTCCCTCAAATGTACGTATACTCACATGCCTCTAACAGAATAAATATTATAATAGTGTTAATATTTGCAATCATGTAGTACACAAATTCAAATTTTCTCTAAACTAAACAATGAATATAAAATTTAGAAGTGAATGGATGACGATTTAATGTGAGCCCTGC